TGTCTCTCTCTGTCAAATAAATGAATAAAATCTTAAAAAAAAATAAAAATAAAAATAAAGGGCTATTTAACTAGTATGGACAAATATTCAGAACACAAGGTTAAGTTTAAAAGCAAACAAACAAACAAACTCGGACGCCTGTCTGGCTCAAGTCGGTGGAGCATGCGACTCTTGCTCTTGGGGTTATAAGTTCAAGCCCCACAGTGGGCACAGAGCTTACTTTAAAAAAGAAAAAAAGAAAGAAAAGAAAACTCAAAACTGGCTACAACAGATATTGCAAACAAGTGACCCACGGAGGGATTCGATGTACCGTAATGATTTTTATAAATCTGAGCCACTATGTAAAAGTTGGGGTAATCCACATTTAAGAAAACTATTTGAGGCTTCTCTCGAACAATGACAAAAATGGCAACAGAGGCCACATTCCCACTTGGCTAGAACCAGCAGGAAAGAAAGGCCCCCCAAGACCCTACAGAAAAGGCATACCTCAAGAGCACAGCGTTTTGAAAGGTCCAGGTGATGATTTCATCACCTGGGTTTAAGGAGCTTTTTTATAATGAAATGCTCCAGTGCATCATGCATCAGAAGAGTATGTATTGCTTTAGAAAGTATACACAAGCAACCACCTGCATGTGATCGGTCACGAGAAAGAAAGTGACTTCTGCTACATGGAGTTCATCCCAGTCCCCACCACTTCCCAACCTTGCTCATTCCCATACCTGTCTGATCCCTGGAAGTATCTGAGTTTTCAACGTAATAGTATGACTCATAAGCCAACACAGAAAAAGTCCTGAAAACATTATCTAACAGCTGACTAGGAGGTGGGGTGAACTCTGACTTTCATTTTGTAAATAACGATTACTGTATGACAAGTATGTAGTGATTTCACAAGAAAAGAGTATATGAAAACATCTTCCCTTCTCCCTAAACAGTAACCCACAGTGGAGCTACAGAGAGTGAGGACACCCAGGCGCTCGGACTCTTACCCTAATACATATTCATGACTTAAGTCAGGATCCTGCAAGCAAATATTGGCAAAGGCATCAGTTATGGCCAAGAGGTCTAGATCAAGGAGGAAGCAGGAAAATCACTGAGAATATAAACCACTCTGATCAGTAACCAGGACACCATGAGCGAAAGGCTTCTGGCTGAGCAAACTGCTCCTTAGAAAATGAAATCGAATTCTGTGGATTACGGACACCTGATTCTGAGTTTCTTGATTCCCCCACCCCTAAAACAAAAGGAAGCCTTCTAAAATCTTATACAAGATTTATTTAATAACTTATCTCAATGTGCAGTCTTATATTGCTGGCCACAAAATTCTTATTACTGAAACGAATATGGCTTTTCTATCCTATGACCATCTTTTTTGTTTGTTTGTTTACATAATTTTGGATAAATCACAATCTCATCTGAGTTATACTCTCCCTGACTGTGGGGGATTTCAATCTAGTCTACTTCTCCTTCTCCTAAATGCTACCGTCGCTGCCAACAGCAGAGGGCACTAGGGTGCAATGAAAAGAAAATGGGATCTAGACTCAGGATCTGGCTGAGGAACACAGGCACCTCCCTACACTGTCCACAAGGACCTCAACTGGCCCTCTATAAGGTGAGGAGACTGACTTACGGTTCCTTCTGAGTCCGTCATAGAAGCTGGCAAACTGACTCAGGGACCAAATCTAGCATAATACCTGCTCTTATATGGCCTGCAAGGGTATTTACCTTGGTAAATGGCTGGAAAAAACCTAAAGGATTCATAGTTCATGAAACACACACATTATAGGAAGGTCAAATTTCAGTGTCACAACCACACACAGCCTGTGGCTGTTTTATTAACACAATGACCGCGTTGAATCGTTACACAGTTGAGAAAGAGACGCATAAAGCCTAAACTATTTACTATCTGGCTCCTTACAGAAAAGGGGACAATCTGTAAGATTAAAATGATTTGGAGTACTGCCTTTTCTACCCATACCACTCAATGGCTGTCTAACTCATAATCAGCGAAATGATCCAAGCACATGCTGGTAAGAAGATCATATTTTGGAAAAGGGACTTTAAAGTCTACTGAAATGGAGAATCTCATTTACCACTTAGAAAAGCCATTCGAATAATGAAGAGTTTTGTCAGGAATTCTACTGTCATTTCAATCTTGCTATGTCCCGAGGAAAGAGAAAAGCTTAATTAAACACATTACACACGCTCTCAGATTCCTCTAAAACTGTGTTTCCTGAAATACGGAACAGGATACAAAACAGTGGTTCACAGGCCAACATGTTCTATTTTACAAGTTAGGTATTAACTTAATGTATATTAGAGAAAAAAACACAACAAGCAATTTAAGCACGAGTTTATACGTATTATTCAGCTTAGGATAAAGCGATGTTGCGATTTAATATTTAAGTATACAGTTAAAACAGAGATACTAGCATGCGGCAAAACTGATGCTGATGAACATTCAGGCAACACTGCTGCCCAGTTAGAACACTTTCTCAAAAGCAAGCTCTCTAGGAGAGGTAACAGGCTGTGGAGTTGGTGTGATTAGGTGTTTTGTTCGCTTGGCTTAAATGCGATCATGTAATGAATAAAAGTGAGCTTTTAAGAACTCTGGTCTGAAACTGAGAGGCAAAAGCAAATTTCTGTTCTGAAACTATGTCAGAAGTTGCATCATCCCAGAACAAAGCTCTGAAATGCAACTGAGCACCTAGGACCCCATGGTTAGGGTCAGAACTGGGGAAAGAGATTGCAGCCTTTATTTTGAAGAACCAAAAGCCACTGGTACTTAACTCTCTCTCCACCTACAGCCATTCTGAGAACAGCTACAAGCAGTACTTGAAAATTACCAACCAACCAGGAACAAGAAACAACACAACCAAAATGGGTGGAATTCCTTGAGCTCACTTCACAGAGTCCCCATCCTTTTACCTTCTGGGGACTTCGGTGGTCTCTTGAAGAACGGGTGCCTGCTCCTTAAAGAGTTCTTATGTAAAGGGAGGAAGGGATGGAGGGATAAAAGAAAGAGGAAGGGGAAGGGAGGGGGTCTGAAGGGCTGTCCAAGCTTAAAACATTGGTCAGAAGCTGGGGCGCCTGGGTGGCTCAGTTGGTTAAGCGACTGCCTTTGGCTCAGGTCATGATCCTGGAGTCCCGGGATGGAGTCCCGCATTGGGCTTCCTGCTCAGCAGGGAGTCTGCTTCTCCCTCTGACCCTCCTCCCTCTCATATGCTCTCTCTCTCTCATTCTCGCTCTCTCAAATAAATAAATAAAATCTAAAAAAAAAAAAAAAACATTGGTCAGAAGCCTAAAACTGATGGTCCAACCTATAGATGTGCTTTATTCATTCTGGAAAACATCCGAAGACATTGAGTTGACATTTAATATTTGGGGGTTTTATATAAAAATGCAAATTCCCCACTTCTCTGGAATAATGAGAAGATCAGAAAACCAAGAGGCCACATTCCTACATGGCAACCATGGGCTGAAGCCCTTGAGGTGAGGCATGTGTCCAGGGGTTCACCAGGTCCTGCCTCCTCGACCAGTCTCCCCAGCCGACAGTCTGAGAGTTGGCTGCCTTTCATCATCATGATTAGTGTAGAAGCTTCTCTGTGCCCATGTCTCTCAGAGGTAGACCAACAGAGAAGGCCATGTTTTAAGAAAAATGGGAGTAAACCCATTTCCTTGTGGAAGCAATAAAGTTCCTAAGCATTGGACATGCAACCAAATAATAGCTGGGTAGAAAGTATTCCATTTAAGTCACACTTTCCTTACACTCGGCCAGCATCCCTCATGCACGTCACCTCTCAAAATCCGTGTAGGCATTTGCTGAGCAACCACCATAAGAAATAATATAGCAGCCCACATCTTTGTAGCACTTACTGTTTTAGGCACTATTCTGAGTGATTTCTGTATACGTCATCTTTTACCCCTCAAAAGAACCTATGAGGCAGGTCCATCACTATGTCACATTACAGATGAGGGAACCGAAGCATCAAGGCATTTAGTATCTTGGGGCACCCAGGTGACTCAACTGGTTGGGCATCTGACTCTTGATTTCAGCTCAGGTCATAATCTCAGGGTCATGGGATCGAGCCCCCTCTCAGGCTCCATGCTCAGCGTTGAGTCTGCTTGCGGTTCTCGCTCTTCCTCCGCCCCCTCCCCCCACTCACGTGTGCACTCTCTCTCTCTCTCTCTAAATTAAATAGAGAAAATCTGTTTTAAAAAAGACACTAAGTATCTTGCCTAAAGCCATGTGGCTAGTGAGTGGCAGAGGTGGGATGTGAGACGAGCATCCTCATTCTTCACCACTCTTCTACAGCAAGTGTCTACGACCTTTATTGAGGAGTGGGAGTGCTCTGGGGAGAGGACATTATTGCTGACCTTATACCCTGCTCTAATATTTGAGCACTGCATAATGGGAAGGTATAGTTTTGACAGATAATCCTCTGATTAAAATAACATTCTTTTTTTTTTTAAGATTTTATTTATTTATTTGACAGAGAGAGACACAGCAAGAGAGGGAACACAAGCAGGAGGAGTGGGAGAGGGAGAAGCAGGCTTCCCACAGAGCAGGGAGCCCAATGCGGGGCTCAACCCCAGGACCCCGGGATCATGACCTGAGCTGAAGGCAGACCCTTAACAACCGAGCCACCCAGGCACCCCCCTAAAATAATATTCTTGAGAAACAAACTGTTATGGGAAGTTTTGCTGTGATAATCCAAGAGCCAATGTGACCTGAACTCTGAAGGATTACTGGCCACCTCTGCCCACTGCTAGGAATGACCTCCATCTGGCCTTTGGGGACCACTTTTCCCCCTTCTTGATTCCTAACAGCAAGAATCCCACTGGGTTATCCATTTAAAATTTTAAATATGCTCCACTGGAGCAAAACCCCATAGAGCTCCCTTGCATGTAGGGGCGCTGGTCCACTGGACCCCGACAGGTGTGGCCCCAATGGAAGCCCTGTGTCCCAGGGGCCTCCTCCCCATCTCCCACCCCAGGCTAACCTGTGCTCTTGTCCAGGAAATCCATGGACTCCTCACTGGCACTGAAGTGGCTCGAGGTGGCCTTCTTCTCAGCATCCTGCTCCACGTCGGAACCCGTGTGCACAGAAGAGTTTGTACTCATGGGGGACCGGGGCATATCGGACAAGGAGATCCTACGGCCTGCGCCCCCACTCAGCATGGGCTTGCTCATCAGGATCTTGGGGGACGCCGTCATGTCAAAGTTGAGCTTGACCTTCTCCTGCTTGTCTATCTTGGCAGCACCGGCACTGGGGTTGCTGGGGTCGAGCAGCATTTGGTACTGGCTGTTAGGCGTGTAGGGTGTCCTGAAGGGAGAATAATTAAAAACCCCAAACTTCCTGCGGATGTTCTCCACGTACACTTCCATCTCCTGCATTGCACTGTTGAAGATGCTTTTTGTCTTTTTCACAGAAAAAGGAATTTCTTTAGACATGAGGTAGCAATTATTTATTGGAACCCAGGCCCTAGGAGTGCAGAAAAGAAAGAAGAGCTGAAGTCAACTTTGGTCCTGTCAGAGATTCCTCTCTTCTTTTTTTTCAAGTTTTTTTTTTTTAAATGTATTTTATCACGGTACACTTAAGTGCCAACACGTAAACGTACAGGTATGCGGTAGATCTCTACAGCCTGTTAATCATAACTGAAATCTTATGCCCGATGATTGGTTACCCCCCCATTTCCCCGCCCGCACCCCTGGCAAACTACCATTCCACCCTTTGATTCTGTGGATCTGACATGAGATAGCTCCTATAAGTAGAATTCATGCAGTGATTTGTCTTTCTGTGACTAGGTTATCTCACTTAGCACAATGTCCTCCGGGTTCAACTATGTTGCCCATCTTTTTGTTTTCTTTATTTACCATATTATCTTTTTTTTTTAAGGTTATGTTAGTCACCATTCATTACATCATTAGTTTTTGATGTAATGTTTCATGATTCATTGTTTGCGTACAACATCCAGTGCTCCATTCAATACGTGCCCTCCCATCACCGGGCTAACCCATCGTCCCCAACCCCCTCACCTCTAAAACCGTCAGTTTATTTCTCAGAGTCCATAGTCTCTCGTGGTTCATCTCCCCGTCCAAATTGCCCCCCTTCAATTTTCCCTTCCTACTATCTTCTTTTTTTTTTTAAGGCTGAATAGGAACCCCTGAAATGTACATACCACGACTTCTTTATCTGTTCATCTGTCAATGGATAATTAGGTTGTTTCCAGAACTGTTTTTTTCCTTAATGCAAACCAAATTAGCCTTGTATGTTTGCCAAGATTTTTTTTTTTTTTTTTTTTGGCCAAGATTCTTAAATACGTATCTATTCTTTTAAAATGACTTGGTTTTGCATGGTTAATACATGATTTAACCATTAACCCAGACATGTTCTGTCATAAGAACAGAACACCAACAGCAAACTTAGTGAAAACATTAAAAGACTCCTAAATGTAGTCATTTTAATCCATTAAAAAAACAGTAAATCCCCTTTTGGCTTTGGGTGAGTAAAGAGTAAGAAAACAGTCACTGTGGGTACCTGGGGGCTCAGCTGGTTAAGCATCCAACTCTTGGTATTGGCTCAGGTCATGATCTCAGGGTTGTGAGATCAAGCCCTGAGTCAGGCTCCGCACTGGGAATAGAGACTGCATAAGATTCTCTCTCTCCCTCTCTCTCTTCCTCTCACTCTGTCCCTCCCTGCCCCCCATGCCCACCCATGCATGCTCTCTCAAAAAAAAAAAAAAAGAATAAACGTTTTGGGGCCCTTAAGTGGCACAGTCCATTGAGCACCTGACTCTTGGTTTTGGCTCAGGTCATGATCTCAGAGTCATGGAGACTGAGCCCCACGATGGGCTCCACGCTCAGCGAAGAATCTGCTTGGATTCTCTCTTCTGCTCCCTCTCCCTCTACCCCTCCCCACCACACGTTCTCTCCCTCTCTCTCATAAATAAATAAATCTTAAAAAAAAAAAAAAAAAAAAAAAGGAAACAGTCCCTGCATCCAGGACTGCACCTCCTAAAAGAGAATCAGTCCCAAAGTCCAGTGCTCTGCACTCAGACGTGAAGAGCTTTCCTATCTCTTGTAAAACTGGGGTTCTACATGGCACTAGAAGGAAACACTAGAAAACCATAACCCTGGTTGCCTGGGTGGCTCAGTCGTTAAGCGTCTGCCTTCGGCTCAGGTCATGATCCCAGTGTCCTGGGATCGAGCCCCGCATCAGGCTCCCTGCTCGGCGGGAAGCCTGCTTCTCCCTCTCCCACTCCCCCTGCTTGTGTTCCTGCTCTTGCGGTCTCTGTCAAATAAATAAAGTCTTTAAAAAAATAAAAAATAAAAAATCTTTAAAAAAAGAAAACCATAACCCTGCAAGGAGATGCACGGCTTCAAACAGGGGAGAATTCATGTGGAAAATAAGCAAGGAATAGCCTCCACCTTCCATTCCCGACTGCTTTTGTCTTCCTGCCTTCAACCCCCCACAAGCCAGTATGCTCTGCAGAGCCTTCACGAGAACAAGAGCTGCTTTTCTGGAATCAGTGGCCGAGTGGCTGCAGGCAGATGGCAGTATAACCTACCACTGCTCCGGGTGGGGGCTGAGCCCCAGCGAGAGCTGGAGGATAGACTGTGTGGCATTTGATTCCCCGGCCTCGAACCCGAACCCGTTTGTAGCTGGGAATTTGGTGAGAATGAGCTTTTTCCAGGGAGGCCTTTAGGATTTCACAGACCGTAAACTCACGCCAGACACAAAGCAATGGGGAGCAAAGTGGACGGTGGGGAGATAGAACAGTCCAACACAAGCACTGTCTACTGGGGAACCTCACACGTGCCCGTGCAGGAATCTGGACCCTCCCCCCACCCCCGCCCCACTGCTGCGGAGTCTCCCAGCATTTTAAAGAGAAGCAAAAAATATGGACTGCCTATACTGCATTCTACCCAAGTGTTAACGGCTCGTTCCTATTTTGAAGAGAAAGCAGCCCAGGAAAAGTCAAGTATGTGCATGGGGTGGAATTCAGGGCACAGACTGGGGAGGTTTGCCACTCCCGGTGATAACTAGATCGTGACACAGACTAAAACCGAACACCCCAAAAATATCTAACTGCTCTCTCAGCATGCTGCAAATTACCAGCTTCTCATCCACCCCAACTCACTGCTGTCATCCCGCAGAGACCTGAGGAACCACATCTGCAGCCAAACAGAATGAGGCAGACAGAGCAGGAGCCAGATGCCCCGTAGGTGAAAGTCTGTGGCTGTTACAACTGGGTGAGCAGGAGTCTGGACTAGACAGGACAGCTCGGAGGAGAAGCCGGGATCCCCCAGCTGCCCCTGGACAAACGACTCCCCCTCCCCAAGCCAGCCTCGGCTCCATCATCTTGGTAAGGTGGAGGATGAGCCCCTCCCTGGAGCGGGGTCACGGGGAACAAATGAAATGCACCTCGGCCAGGTGGCCAGTCCCCAGAGCACCGGGAGCCCAGCATGCAGCCAGCCACTGTGACTGTGTTCCCCCCACACCTCTGCCTGGGGTCGGGGCCTTAACCGTTTCCTGCCTTCCATGAAGGTGTCTGCCAACTGATTTCAGGAAAGTATTCCCTTTCCTTAGAGCAGGCCCAGGACAGAGTTAAAGGGAAGTTAGATTTGCTTAACAAAAATAAAGTCTCTGGGGGCAATGTTATGAGAGGCCCCAGAGTCACACAGCTGAGCTACTCCCTACACTGGGCCTCAAGTTTCCTTCTCAGTAAAATGAGAATAAAGCAGCTTCTGCAAAAAGCGCTTAGAACAATGCCTGCCGCATAAAAGGCACTCCATTCACGCCAGCTCGCTCCTCTGCGGCTCTGCAGACATTTGATAAAATATTTCCCGGATTTTTATATGGTATCATGTACGTGTGTGTGTGTGTGTATGTCTATGAAACCAAACCCCCAAAAAGCAAAAATTTTTAAAGGACAAAAAGCACACGACAAGACTCTTCAGAACATGATTTGATCTGTAGGAGCACCTCCCCAGGCTCGCTCTTGTCTTTATTAACCAGAGGATGAAGACGTAACAGGCTGCGCCATTTCTTATTCTGCTCTCCTAACCAATGGGGCTTACATGTGTCCAGGCTTATGCTCTGTTCCACAACCCCAAAGATTCTCCGTGAGAAAGGGACAGCCTAGCCCATCTCTTTAGCCTCCACGTGGTGCTGCTGGGTCTGACTAGCTCTGCTTGAAGAACATCTCCCGGGAGGAAGGGACTTCAGTGGCCTCATCCTGAGAACTCCCAAGGTTCTGCGGCTCCACCACCTACTCCCCACCGCCATGCGGTGTCCTTAACCACGCCAAGGGGCTCCCCTCACCCAAAATGAGCCAACAGTTCGGCACGTTCCCTCCAAGGGAGCAGAAGACACTGAGAGAGTTAGGCAAACCTCACGGGCATCAGACGGGCTGCCGTCTTTTTCACAAATGATGGGGGAGGCAGGGTGCCGGCTTCCACGACAGTTCCTACCTAGAACCAACCTATACCAGCAAGTTCCAGGGAAATGGCCTCGGACTAGGACTAGCAGAGCTCACAGTCCCCTAAGCCACCTTCAGTAGCTGATATGCAGGAGGACATCCATGCAGAATAGGCTAAGCTGAGAGCAGAATCAAAGATGCTAAGAGTCTGAGAATATTTGGTGCATGGGGGCAAGCACTGATTTCCCCCACCCACCTATGTCCTAAATATATCCACACTGGGTCATATTACAGAACGAGAATAATCCCAAATCATCAAGATGGCTAACACTTGCCCTGCTATAATGAAGCAGCGGGAAGATGCACAACCGGATACTAATTCCTCCTGCTCTTCAAAGAAAAGGCAGACTCTGACCACAGCCTGTGTGCTCGGGGCCTTGCCCCTCCCCCATCCATCTCTTACCAGCCTCCCCCGCTCTCCCTGTCCAAATCACCCAGAGCTCCTGCTTCTCCCAGGCACAGCAGGATGGCTCTGTCTGTCCCTCCACCCAGATCTTCACTCAATCCCGGCCATTACCTCCTGATCTGAGATCATCTCGCCTGTATGTTTACTTGTATATTATCTGTCTTCCCCACTAGGATGCCAGCCTTCAGATGGTTGGGGACAGTGTCTGCCTGCTCACCCCCAAATCCCCAGCAACCAGCACATGACCTGGCCCACAGCAGGCAACAAAAGATCTCCAAGCAAAGTGGTCAAAATCAAACAAAGCAAAATACTTCCTATCAAACCCGGGTGCCTGGGTGGCTCAGATGGTTAAGCGTCTGCCTTCGGCTCAGGTCATGATCCCAGGGTCCTGGGATCGAGCCCCACATCAGGCTCCTGGCTCAGCGGGAAGCCTGCTTCTCCCTCTCCTTCTGCCTCTCCCCCTGCTCATGCACACACTCTCTCTCTGTATCTCTGTGTCTCAAATGAATAAAAAAACTCTTAAAAAAAAAAAAAAAACAGGACCCTCTCAGCGAATTCCCATTTTGCCTCCAGACAATGGATTTCTAGCAAAATTCACTCTTTGGGTTTTTTTTATTTGGAAGACAAGCAAAACTGAACAGAGTAACAGTTCGGATTCCAGTGTTTGAAATTATACACTGTATTTTCTGTATATTCTGTGGCTGTATATAATTTTTAGGGTACGTTTTTTAAGTATTCTCCCCAGTACAAACACTTTTTCAAACTACTTGGTAGGGCTTCGAAAGGTTTTTGCCTCGTTTAATCACAACACAGCTTGCTAAAAGAGAACTGAGATATTAACCACGGCTCATCTGGGTCTACCTGTTGTTCACAAGCATGTAGGAGCAGGAACTGCTAAGAGCTGGAACAATTCACTTCCCTGTGAGCAAGGGAAAAGGGGAGGGTAGAAAGGCTGGCAGGGAGGGCTCCCACCTGTTAAAACAGCCACCTCTTATAATTTCCTATTTTAGCTTCAGAGAAAAGGCAACAGGAGGGAACCGCCCAGCACAATGATAAGAGATTCATTTACTGGCAATCTGGGGAAATACTTCTGATCTCTGAAAGCATTATTTTGAAAAGCAATTTGCACGGCAGTTTAATTTGCTCTAGAAAATCCAAAAAAGAACAAGCAGCACTTAAAATAGCTATGGTGCCAGTTTCATCAACAAAACTACGAAAGCAAGATTCTTCTCTTAAACATACCTGAAAACACTGAAGCCCACACATTATCAGGCTTAACACAGCCCAGGACTGTATTTTTAACCACAAGATCACTGGTTGGTGTCATGACAATAAATAACACAATAATACTCTGCCCCTGCTTGCATCCATCATAGTATCAAAGGTGCAGTTAACGCTATACGTTTGCAGCCGGTTTGAACTCCCACCTGTCATGTTGTCCAAAGAAACGAGCATCAACCTGCCCATCTTTATCCCGCAGAGCTTTTGCAGGCCAGAATGGAAACCCCTTCAGTTTTGCCCAGACCAAAGGATGTGGATTGCTCTAGGAACAGAAAAACAAAATCCAGAGTTTGTATGTATTTGACAGCAAGACACGCATATAAAGCTTGGTGTGTGGCGAGACAACAAGGCCACCAACTAAATGAGAACAGTTCCAGGCAAGGTCTCCCAAGTGGGCTCGCCTAGGAGGGCATGAGGCCAGTAGGCCCGAGGCAAAGCTGGTTCTGGGGGTGAACGACAAGACAGAAGGACGGAGCACCGACAAGACCAGGCTTCGACCCTGGCTCTAATGCTATTACCCGGGTGGCCGTGAGCAAGAGGGTCTACCTTCCCCTGCAACATGGAGACAGCAATGCCTACACCCTCCGTTAAGTTGGGGGATTAAATATGCATTATAACTGGCAGGTAACAAGGGGTAGAATTAGCCACCTTTGTCCTTCATTGAGGCTGCCCAGAGCCTTAATTATGCAGGTGTTCATTGCCAAAGGCAGAAGAGACATAAACTATGTTCTACTTTTCCACTTTATTGGCCCCCATCTTGCCTCCCAGTAAGCTCCACCCCTACCCTCCTCCCACCCTCCCATCAGGCCACCCCAAGAACACACTTCTCTGCAGAACACCAGTTTGGAAAATGCAGATCCATGAGGAAAACAGGGTGATTTTTCTCTCCCCAACCCCTACCCCAAACCACCAAGTTGGAGAGACCATGGAGGCAATCCAGAGAGGTATTTCCAAACCTCTCAACACAGATCCAAAAGAACACACTCACTGCACTCTCTTCCCGCTATCTGCATTACCGAGGGGCGCCCCCTCCCCGATGAGCTCCTTCTTGCTCTCCACCCTGCAGCCCGCCCAGAGTTAATAAACCCAGAAAGTCACAGTGCTCCCTTTGGCACATGAATTTTCAGCCCCAGAGCTTTATTCTATCTGGATCACTTACATTCTGCCATAACTTTATCACTTCAAAAATCATTTAAAAACTTCACCCAATGGGGCACCTTGGTGGCTCAGTCGTTAAGCGTCTGCCTTTGGCTCAGGCCATGATCCCAGGGTCCTGGGATCGAGCCCAGCATTGAGCTCCCTGCTCTGCAGGGAGCCTGCTTCTCCCTCTCCCACTCCCCCTGCTTGTGTTCCTGCTCTCGCTATGTCTCTGTCAAATAAATAAATAAAATCTTTAAAAAAAAAAAAAAACTTCACCCAAAGTTTCACCGAATAAACCACCTGGACAAAGTAGCCTTGGGTAGCCATCTAAGGCATGGGGCTCAGAAAATGAAGTAAGGAAAAGAAATGCAACTTACACAAGGCTCACAAAACCAGTTATCTCGTTTTTGGCAAGCAGCTAGGTAACACTCTGGACATACTTCAATTTCATTCATCTGTAAAGCAAAAACACGTTAGGATGTGTCATCCCAGGGGCCTCACATCTGGAGGCCCTCAAGGAATGCATGATGGTGTTAGCAGTTAAGGTTAGCTAAACCAGGTCCAACAGTGGGGAACACCTTCAAGAAGAGTCCAGCTATCCCCCACCAACCCCCATGCTTCACCTAACCCAAGCCACCACCATCACCACCTCCTCTCTCTCTGGACCACATCCGGATCAGCTTCTACTCTTGTGCCCACTGCGGTCCATCCCCCAAGACACAGCAGCAGGGACATCGTGTGCCAACGTTTATCTGACCGTGGGTTGCAACCGGAATCTCTGAGGTGCAGGACAGTCCCCGGGACAAAGAATTCCCCAGCCAAAATGTCAGTAGTACAGGAAACTAACAGAAACTAACAAGGAAATCTAAACTCCTGATGAGCTCCGTCAACGCCAAGTGTGTCCAGGCCTTGGGCCTCCTGAGCTCCCCAACCACCTCCAGAACAGCTTGGCCTCTGCTCATTGTGCTCAATTCCCACACATCTCTAATCACACCATCCAGGGCAGCAGGTGCTCAATACCCTGTTGCCTTATTTTCTCTCCACCGACGACAATCTGAAATTGTGTAGTTTGCAGACCGTCCTTCTCCCTCTTGAAAAAGTACATTCCCCTAGGATATCTACGTCTGACCTAGAATCAAGGACCCCAGAAGCCCCTTTCTGGGATCTCAACTCAGACTCCACCATTTTCTAGCTCTGTAACTCTAGGAACGGTTGCTTATCTTGTCTGAGCCTCCATTTCCCTCCCATTTCCTAATGTACAGAATGGGGATGCGAGCAACACCTACCAAACGGATTCTAACAATTATAGGAGATAAATGTAAAGCACTTCGAGTGTCACAGTAATCAATACATTAGTTAACATTGATCAGAGATCTCTGCTGGGATCACCAAAGTGTTCTACAGGTTCTGACCCATTTATTCCTCACACTCCCTTCGAAGGCAGGACTGCTGTTACCCCCATGTGACAAATGGAGAAAATGAAGCCCCAGAAAGTCAGGACACCTGCCCAAAGTCTCACAGCAGTAAAGTGACAGGGCCAGGACTTGAACCCAGGCAGTTATAACATTATAACTAATAATGTTATAACTATAATTGACTAACTTAAAGGTGAGTGAATAAATGAGTGAATAAAGGAGCAAAAGAATACATGCATGAATGAATGATGGCATATAGTTCCTCCTTCTACTCACTCTACTTGTACGCTATTCCAAAGGTACTGGGTAAAGAAGGTGGTAACGTCAGGTCCAGGAGAGCCCTGCCTTGGACCCACACAGGGGCAATGTATTGCCAACAGGTAGAATCAGAAATGGCAGACACAAAGTATCTGGGTTCAGTAAATTCCAGCTCAGGGCAACCCACCAATGATTAAAAGCCTAGGCTTTAGCTCCCAAATATAGGAAAACAAATGAATCCCCAAGGGGGTAACAACTGGACAACTCATTCATACAAAACTCCAAATCAACAATAAACATATCAAAAACAGTCCATCGGGCACCTGAGTGGCTCAGTCGGTTAAGCATCTGCCTTCGGCTCAGGTTGTGATCCCAGGATCCTGGGATCGAGCCCCACATCAGGCTGCCTGCTTGGCGGGGAGTCTGCTTCTCCCTTTCTGTGCCAATCCCCCTGCTTGTGCTCTCTCTCTCTCTCACTCTCTCTCTCAATTAAATAAATAAAATCTTTAAAAAACAAAAAACAAAAAAAAAAACAGCCCATCACCACTTGTCTTCAAAGAAGTGCAAACCAAACTCATAGTGACATGCCCGGTTTTACTAATCGCATTGCAAGAACTTCCAATATTGAGAAGGACACAGAAAAACTACCATACTCACCCATCCCAGGCTGCTGTTTAAGATGCTACAGCTTTTCCCGAAGCCAGTGAGGAAATATCTACCTAGAGCCTTAGTATAAATGTTAGAAAGGTACCTATCATGTCTAAGGGCTGACATTTCTAACATTTATACTAAGAAAATCATCATAACAGCTATGAAAAATTCTATTGTTCCTGTGTGTTTAATTACAATGGGGAAACACTCAAACTAAGTGAAAAATATAAATTGTAAAACTCTCTATAAAAATAGGTAGAGGGTGCCTGGGTGGCTCAGTCGTTAAGCATCTGCCTTTGGCTCAGGTCATGATCCCAGGGTCCTGGGATCGAGCCCCACATCGGGCTCCCTGCTTGGTGGGAAGCCTGCTTCTCCCTCTCCCACTCCCCCTGCTTGTGTTCCCTCTCTTGCTGTGTCTCTGTCTGTCAAATAAATAAATAAAATCTTCAAAAAAATAAAAATAAAATAAAAATAGGTAGAAATGGACATACCCTGAGATATCCAAGTGTTTTCCTTACAAATGAATGGATGAATGAATGAATGAATGAATGAAGTACACAGACATGTTTAAGTCTATTACATCTCGGTTTTTCGCTCTTATGAAGGGGGTCTAATAAAGCCTCCCTGGTACTGTTTCTGCTCCCAGCCTACCCCACAACCAGTAGGGCCTCAGGGCCTTTCTTTCACATCATCAAAACTATATTTCCAAGAGGGAATGACTCTCCAGGACTCTCCAGGCCACTCCCTGAAAAACAATCAGGACCTTTCCAAGACATAACATCAAAACCCAAACATCTTCCCTAAGAAGAGTAAAAGGGGCCTGGCCCAATGCCACAGATTGTAGGGTGAACAAATCATGAGCCCTATCTATGCAACTAAGAAAACTCAGGATGCCCAATGCTTGGGCTTGACCATGACTCAAGACTGAGTAATACAAGGTCATTTCCACCTCCCTTAGATCATGGGTAAGATAAGGGTGGTTTATAACATACTGGGGTCTACTCTTTGTCGCTTTTACTTTTCTTTGAAGACAGGGGGGCACTGTATGTGCCTCAATAAATCCCAAAATTGGGATGCCTGGGTGGTTCAGTCAACTGAGTGTCTGCCTTCCGCTCAGGTCATGATTCCAGGGTCCTTGGATCAAGTCCTGCATCAGGCTCCCTGCTGAGCAGGGAGCCTGCTTTTCCCTCTGCCTCTGCCTGCCCCTCCCCCTGCTTGTGCTTTCTGCTCTCTAATAAATAAAACCTTTTTAAAAAATAAATAAATAAATCCCAAAACTGCCACAGCTACCCACTGAGAGATTATGCAGATAGAAACCAGCCACCCCAACCCCTCACTCTGGGTGCATTTAAAATCGGACAGTGGTAAACACATACCTCATGCTCACAGATTTTGATGACTACTTTTGCTATCTGCGTCAATTTGTGATTTCCTAAAGGAATAAGAAAGTATGATTAATTCAAATGGAAACACGATTATTAACACCTAACCATGGGGTTATACTTCCACTAACAACCTTTCAACTTGCTTCCCCCCAGGATTAAGCTTCAAAGGCTAAAAACCAGAAGATTCTGGCTCCTGTTATTGGTTCAAATTATGTGACTTCTCCCCTAAACACTGAGCAATCTTTGGTGCCTCAGTGTCATCTCTGAAACTGAGTAATTTGTGTGGGATTCCTACAGCTGACAGGTTAATATCTGGAACATGCTTTCACGTTCGAAAGGCTCCAATTAGTGGAAAGGAGCCTCATTCGCCCATTGTTCCAGACTCCACATGTAAAGTAACAGGGGAAAGAAAATTAGCTCTGCTGGGCCTGGTGCTTCGAAATACATTTTCTTATTAACTCCTCAAGAAGCTGTACTAGGAAGCAGGTATGAATGTTCCCCTTTCATTAATGAGTAAGCCAAGGCTCAGGAGTCATTCTTACATGAGACTACTTAGCTAATGAGTTGAAAATCTGGCCCCAGGTCTAACTCTAAATCCCCCACCTGCACACTAAACCAGAAGACAAGATGGCCGAAAAGTCATGCTTTCTTCAGACATTATATTTCCAGACATTGTCAATTTCTCGGCAAAAAGATTTTACATAAACACACACACACACACCTAGATTTCTGGCTTGCCTTGAAAACTCAAAAAATCTGATAACTCTGTGTCCAAAAACGACTGGGGTATCCAGTGGTGACCCCTTCAGGCCAGGTAGGAGTTCATTCCCCCAGTTTATCAGGCTCTAGTTCTTCCCTTGGCCAATGGCCATGTGGGCTTGTGCTGCTATTTGTCTGCCACCTGATCTCATCCACTTGCTCATGTGATCTTACCAGCCTTTCTATATATTTGAGTTAATAATCTTTACATGAATTTTCAACCGAGTGCCTCTCTCTCCCCTCCCGATACCAGTGGCCCCACTACTGAGCTAATAATGCAGAACATGTGCTTTGAGCAGACAGCCACCCACTCATACGTCTTCCCTTATACATTAGCTAACAATCTACTCTAGGACCATAGAGTAAGAAGACAAGGCATCTGCTCTTCAAGATCTTACACCCAAAAAAAGGAAAAAAAAAAGATCTTAACATCCTCAAACAAATAAAATTAGCACCATCCAGGAAGTGTGATAAACGCTACCATGGGCAAGTACAGGTACTATGAGATCTCCTAACGAGAGCACCTGGTATGGTCTGGGTCCATAAGTGAAGACTCCTCAGAGGACGAATAGGCTGACACTAAAGGATAAAAAAAAGTCATCAAGGCAGAGTGTTCTAGCAGGGAACAAGAGGAACAGAATGGAGCAGGACACTGGAAGAGCTACCTGGCCAGAAGGCAGACAGACAGGACTGTGGGAGAAGGTAGGGCAATATGAAAGGTGCCATGAGAGGAGATTTTAATAGGAATCCTCTTCCATTCTGTCCAGAAGGCTCAATCCACAAAAACGCAACTGACACAACTTTATCCAGAATACAAAGAACTCCTAAAATGCAATAATAAAAACACAAACCACCCAGTTCTTGAAATGAGCAAAAGATGTGAATACATATTTTACCAAAAAAAGAAACACTAATGATTAATAAACACATGAAAAAATACACAATATCATTAATTCTAAGGAAAAGGTAAATGAACACCACCATGACGTAACAGTTCACACTTCCAAGTATGGCTAAAATTAATAAGACACACAACACCAAGTGTTGACAAGGATGTAGAGCAACTAAGACTCTCCTATGCATGGCTAGAAGAGTAGAAAATGATACAACCACTTTGCAGAAAGTTTGCCAAAATGTCTTGTAAATTTAAATAGAAACCTAGTCGGGGCGCCTGGGTGCCTCAGTCGTTAAGCGTCTCCTTCGGCTCAGGTCATGATCCCAGGGTCCTGGGATCGAGCCCCGCATCAGGCTCCCTGCTCGGCGGGAAGCCTGCTTCTCCCTCTCCCACTCCCCCTGCTTGTGTTCCCTCTCTCGCTGTGTGTCTCTCTCTGTCAAATAAATAAATACAATCTTTAATAAATAAATAAATAACTAGAAACCTAGTCAATGACCCAGCACTACCACTCCTAAGTATTTACCGATGAGAAATGAAAATAAATGTCCAAAGACTTGCACAAGAATGTTCACAGTGGCTTTATTCCTAACAGCCAAAAGCTGAAAATAACCCAAAGATCCTTCAAAATCCACAAAGGGAATAGATAAATAAATTGTATGCTGATACAGTGAAAAACCACTCATGGTAAAAAAAGGAACAAGGCAACTGATACATACAACAACATGCATGAATCCCCAAAAAAATTACACTGCATGCAATCAGCCAGACACAAAAGAATGCACTATGACTCCATTTGTATGAAATTCTAGAATATGTAAAACTAATTAGGGGCAGAAAAAACCAAGGAGGGTGGATTTACTGGTAAGGGACAAGTGGGAATATAACAGAGTGATGGAAATACTCTAGATTTAATCTGAGGTTGTAGTTATACCTTTGAGGTGGGTTACACATTTGTCAAATTCAAAGACTGTATTCACAAAATCTATCCATTTTTTCTATGTAATTATTCCTCCATAAAGTTTCTAAAAAGGACAGGTAAGCAGCATCATATAGCCATGAGCCACTATGGATACCAGCTCATCCCTTAAAATGCACAGAGTCACCGTCCCCTATTCACACATACTAGCAATCTATATACAAATATTCTCAGTTTTTGGCCCTGGCGCAGGAAAAAAAGAGCATGATTCTTTAGGAAGGGTGGGAGATTGAGCAAAACACACAGCATAAACACTCTCTTTTTTAGGAGCCACCTAAACCACCCACCTCCATTATAAATGATGCAGTTGTGCAAAATCCACTTTGCATCGGCCAGGAAAGCTTCTGTGCATCCATACATTTTCTTTTTAGCATTCTGGGAAGAAAAGCCAAGGAGCATAATAACCTGTGAGTCTGTACAAGCCGCAGCCAATTAACACCTGCGTCCCCACATCATTTTTCTTAGCAGTCATTTGCCAAATTAATTAATGCTTTTACCCATTTCCCAAGATGCTATTATATTTGAGACCTAGAGCTCCATAAAAATAAAATTGCTGAATTCATCACAGTAACTTGAATTGTTTCCTCTTATACCAGCTGTCATTTATCAAGCAGCCCCTTTCAAGAAACGAGGATATTTTATATACTGACATGGTTTTTATTCATTGTAACAGCCTCACATAAGCCTTGTGACTAAGAACGCCAATGACACACTATCATCACCACTTTACAGACAAGAATACTGAGGTCTGGGATTGTTAAGGAACTTCTGCAAAGTTCTAACGCTATTAATTTGTGAAGCTAGGATTCCAACCCTGTCTTTTTGGAATGCCTTCTTTTCTTGAAAACCATGAGGGTGTGTGTAATTTTTCAAAGCAGGTTCGATTGAGCATTTGGGGGTCAGCAAGACAATATAAGGTTTTCTCCTCATCCATGCTTTTCATTCCCCATATTTCATGCCAAAAATTTGAAAATTAGCACCAGGGTGATATGCACAATCTAAAGCATTCCAAGTGTAATTTTCAGGATGGAATTTTAGCCTGAACTTTTCAAAGCACCTTCAGGCATTAAGGACATATCCCTAACAGTGGAATAACTTCTAGGAAGCCGCATCTTTATCAGTACTCTGAAGGTTTCCCAAACACTTAATTTTCTTTTTTCTCCTTCCTGCTGCCCTCATTAGCACCTCTGACAGAAAGAGAAGAGGAGGTAAGGCTCAAATCAATCAAATCACTGATTCATAGAAGTGTGACTTTTTCAGCTCAATTTTCAGACAATCACCAGCAAAAGTAATATTTGGAGCTCATCAGTGGAATTCAACACTCCATTACAATCCTTGGAAGAATGTTACAGAAGTTAAGGGATCAAGAGTTCTTCCATCCAAATAAAAATGGTGCAGAGGGGGGGCGCCTGGGTGGCTCAGTCGGTTAAGCGTCTGCCTTCGGCTCAGGTCATGATCCCAGGGTCCTGGGATCGAGCCCCGCATCAGGCTCCCTGCTCTGCGGGAAGCCTACTTCTCCCTCTCCCCCTCCCCCTGCTTGTGTTCCCTCTCTCGCTGTGTCTCTCTCTGTCAAATAAATCAATAAAATCTTAAAAAAAAAAAAAATGGTGCAGAGGATAGGCAGAGTAATCATCTAACTTGAGATGGGGCACAGGGAGTGAGGGAGGGTCTTTAGTCATCTCGGGAATTGTGGCTACAATGGTGAGGTTCTTTGATGGAAGCCAACCTTTTCCAATGTACAAAGGTCCATAGGATGGAAGATGTATTCCGCATAGTCAGGATGCTGTTCCAATGGAACAGGCTTCTGGAATGCATCTGTCTATAAAAGAAAAGAAAAGATGCACACACACATGGAGACACAAACCCATCATTACTGTGGAAAACAAAGCATTAATAGTAACAAAGGTACTTTCAAAATGGAGACAACTTTTCAGACAATACAGTTCTAGTGGTTTCCACAAAGAATGACCTTGGGGAGTACTAAGCTGGTTCAGCTTCCAGTTCTGCCTGGTTATCAATAATCATGTGGGGGTGCGCCTGGGTGGCTCAGTCGTTAAGCATCTGCCTTTGGCTCAGGTCATGATCCCGGGGTCCTGGGATCGAGCCCCGCATCTGGCTCCCTGCTCCGCGGGAAGCCTGCTTCTCCCTCTCCCACTCCCCCTGCTTGTGTTCCCTCTCTCACGGTCTCTCTGTCAGATAAATAAATAAAATCTTTAAAATAAATAAATAAATAAATAAATAAAATAATCATGGGGGGGGTTCTTTTGTTATTTGTTTAGTTTTCAAAATATATCCAAATAACAGGTTCTGTCCTCTTCTATTAAGATCGACAAGAACAACACACCGTCAGCTACTTCAGACGTGAACTCTGAATAAGGCTTATCTATATCCTGCAAACATCCATAACCAGAACAGACAGTAAAATGTGGCCATACCCAGAGATGACACACTTAATAAAGTCCCCCCCTAAATGCCAGCAGGTATTTTACACTTGGGGGGAAAATTCAGACAGTGAGATTTTGCTCCTCCTTCAAGAAGCCAAATTACCTCAACACAGAGACTATGTCAAAGTTTTTCATCTTGTGCCATGTTCTTAAGCCCTTACGTGAATCAGCTCAAAATGCAAGGCCCGGTTTGTTGATGGACTGTTTTTACTTATCAATATTTAAAAATCTACAAGATTTGGGGCACCTGGCTGGCTCAGTTGGTGGAGCATGCGACTCTTGATCTCAGGGTTGTAAAAATTCAATCCCCACATTGGGTGTAGAGATTACTTAAAAATAAAATCTCAAAATCTTAAAATCAATCAATCAATCAATCAATCACTAAAAGATTTAATTAAGCACCAAATGACAGCCAAGCAAGGCATCTGAAAGAGCTACCACTTGCAGTCACTGGAGCCCTCTTTTACCCAGAAGGAAAGTGTGTGGCCTTTGCAAGTTACAAAGATGCTTCAATATCATCGGCAACTTTCTGCCCTAATTGATTTTATATCAAACAATTTATGTGAGAAATTAGGCCTTCTTCGATTTTTCTCTATGGTTTATAATTCTACAGTGTTGACAACTCTACATGAATCTGTTCTTTTTGTAAAACAGTCCCATAATTTAGCCTATGGAAAAGCAGAAAGTAATTCCTTGTCACTCAACATAAAAACAACTCTACAGTTAAAAAAAAAGAGTTGTTTTTCTTTCCAATCTGAGGCTATCCATGCTTTTGCTTCCATTGACGGAGATTTTGTTACAAATAGATTCCCAATTTAGCAACACCCAATTGGCATGCTCTGAATTTTTTTTCATGGTATCAAATTTCAGAATAGAATCTCAAAACAAAAGCCTGGTTTTTTTTGTTGTTTTTTTTTTAAGAAATTAAGCCACAGTGTCTATTCAATACCCTGAGGTTCTACAATGCTGTATATTCCCTTGACTTAGAAAGCAGACTCTGGAGAGTTTAACAAAGGGTCACCACTAGCCAATATGGGGCCTCTGTGCAAATTGGAAAGGGAAAACCCTACCCTTAAAGTTTCTCTAGATTGGTCTGTACGAAGAATGTCATAACATGTTGATTATAAGGGCACAACATATTATTTTTAAGAACGAGGCATTTTACGGTTATCTTCCTAAAAAATGTCACCAAAAAAATTAAAACCACCATGACTATGATGTGCCTGGGACTCTGGAGAGGGTAACCACTAGGAAAGAGAGCGTGCCAGCTGAATGTGGCAGCCTTGCTTTTACATCTGGATTTCCTTTAAGAGGCAAAGGGCTCTACATCAAATCCCATTTCAAAATTGAAGGAATGAACCAAATTCTCGCCCTTTATGGGAGTCTCACTGGTTGAGTTTCACTTGGAGGTTCCATCATCAGACCTTGATTATAAATAAACTGGGTTGTATTCCACTCTCTCACTGAAATGGACTCTTACAAACTCCCGAAGGGAGAAGTACAGAACCTCCTTACCCGATGGGGTCTGGGTATGAGGTTTCACTTCATGACTAATCAGAATTTTAAATCCCACCAACTTTCTACTACATGTCATTCCCCCATTAAACTCATTGGGGACACGGAGTACTCACTACAGAGAATTAACTGACTGTCATCGTACTTTATATTTAAATTTTTAGGTATTTGAGCCAGGCACATAAGAAGACCCAAAGAGTATGCACAGGTGTCTGGAAAGCAAAAACTACTCAGAACCAGAATGTTAACAGAAAACAACAAAAGTCACTATTTTCCATTTACGCTTATACCAAGAGGAACTTTCTTCTTACCCCTGGCTGTTTCATTTTCTGAATGGCAAACTTGAGCAGGTAGGATAACTGTTCGATGGTGAGCATTGTCATGGCCTTACTCTGAGTCTCGATGCATTCTGCTACTGTAATCTTCTACAAGTCAAAATCACACAAATGTTCAGTTAGAAAAAAATTACTATTCCCTGTACAAAGTTCCCTTTCCTCCTAATTTTCCAATAGGCTCATAATAAAAATTCCTTTTCATCCAAATGAGACTAGTTGTTTCACTTGAGAACAACTCCAATCTACTTGACCATACACTGGATCAGTGGATAAAAATGAAGAGGCACACCAATTCCCTGGTGATGACCTTATTTGGAAGTGTTTTTCGCTCATGAAGATGACATAATCTGAGAAAGAGGCAGGTGGGCAGGGACCTGAAAAATCGTCATGATTACAACCGTGGGTTTCAAGAATGGGATGTGAAAGGAAAGACCACTAATGGTTTTAGGGTGATCTCTGCACACAATGAATCAGTCACTTAACTTGATCCTCTTAGCATTCTGGGCTACCTTTCAAGAAACTGACAAGGCTTTAACTCAATGACATCACTGATGGAAAAGGACAGTCTTCCCTGTAGAAAGAATCCAAGGGATAGGAGAGAACTAAATATAAATATGACTTCATTCTCTGTCACCACGGATGTGAACCCACTCAGGACATTCTGGCAAACGACACAAGAAGCGTAGTCTAGCTGTCTGTCTCCATGGGAAATAAATGTCATTTTGAAAGGGAAATTCCCATCAAAGAAGAGGCCCAGAGAAATGTCTGAAACCAGACTCTGCTATGTCAATCTGGTACAATATCCCAGAGCTTCAGACTCCTTATGTAGCAGCAACACCAAAATAGCAAAGTCTGATGATGTCAGGAAACACTCTTTAACCATCTGTGTAGGGAGAGCTGAGAAAAGTTTCCTCCAATTAATCTTGATTTAGTTTCCATCCTTCATAGCTCTGGATCCTCCAAAAGGAACTTTCAGAAGTGTCTGGTTGGTTGTCGAGGAAAAGGGCAACACATGAGTTGCTCAGAAGCTGGAAACAGTATGTGATGCACGTACCTAACTGCTTAGCTACCCGAGCCTGAGACAGCTAGCCTGCACTGCCAATGCCCCCCTGGAAGAAATTTGGGGCCCTAACCTTAAACACAGAAATCCTGTTTGTTTGAATCACTGTTTGCTTCCAGGTAGCTATCCCCGATCCCTTCCCTCCTGGCTAGCAGTGCCTGGTTCCCACGATATAGATTGAAAGTACCAGACAAGCATTTTCAAGATTCTTTTGCTTGAAGACTGGTCCAATCCTGACTGATGAGGCCAAGGACAAAGTCACCTGGAGGCTGAAGGGCAAGGTCCTTCTGCTTGATAAAAAGGGTTGTAAAGAGAAACACTCCTCCTCTTAGAGGGATTTTTGTCTAGGCACACGTGATTAAAAACCCCAGCAGCCAGCTTATGGCCATGGCGGGGGGGGGGGGGGGGGGGGGGGGACACGACACGAGGACACACTTTGCCTCAACAGTGAAACAAAGTCTGGCTATGCACAAACTCTGGCCTGGCCCTGCCTCTGGGTTCTTTCTACACATGAGAATAAATCCCTATTGATCCCTATTGTTCAGCCCGCATCCATCACGATCTTTACTTGCAGCAAAAGCCACTACCGTTTCTGCAAAATTATGAAACAATTGAGAAGGGTGGGTTAAGACAAAAGGAAACGGATGAAGGATCCAGTGCCCACACTAACTGCAGCAGAACCAGGTCGACCCCACAACAAGAGGGCATTGCTGAGCAAAGGGTATCCTACACATCTCTCTGTCTCGAGTACCCCAAAGAGAACCAGAGGCCATTGTTTGCAATTTTAGGGGCAGAACACCATTAAAATGTCATCATCGTATCAATGTGATGCCTCCACTCTTTTCATATAGTTCTTATTTTTCTCCGTTCCCAACACAAAAGCAGTACCACAGACACCGTCTTGTAGCTTGCTTCTTCTGAAAGACATCGGGAAGAACGTTCCATTTCGTACACAGAAAGCTTCCTTGTGTGAGATCAAGTTCTAATATACCTTCAAACCCAAGTGACATTCCGTATTAAATGATTTTGCAGACGGCATCATTTGCAGTATCTTGAAAAAGCATCGTAACTGGAAGTCACCAAGAATGGAAGACACCTCAGAATTGTGGAAATGGTCGTTAACTGTTCTAATAAAGGAAAACGTGAGGCTTTCCGACAAATGAGATACTTATGTTCGTCACCAAGCCAGCGTCCTTCTGCTTGGGTTCTGTACCTGCAGCCTCCTCAATGGAAGGCGGCATGACTTGCTCCTCCTCTCCTTCACGCCGTTCTCAAGTCTCAGTAAGGCCTTCCTGGGCCTTCCTGGGCCTTCCTGGGCCTCTTCACTTCAAAGGGAAACACCCTCCACCCGCCTTACTCCCAATTCCTCCTCTTCAATTCATTCTATTTGGTTTTTGTCCTCTTCTCCTGAAAAGCATGTCATGCATGCCTCTTTTTGTTCACGGCCGGATCCCTAGCACCTAACGGGCACTTGAGAAACAGTTGCAGCATGAATGAAAGCATCAGATGACAACCACATGGAGCACACAACCCAAATTGGTCTTCTCGGCTACCGCCGATGACTTAACAGATGCAGCAGGAGACAACATCCAAGAAGAGGAAAAACAGCATGCCATCTTTTCAAAATACGTGAACTGTTCTACAGTTCCTAAGTTAACTTCTGAAATGTTCATTACAGCAGAATCAGAGAAGGTTGCAGATCCCAGAGTGATCCAAAGACCCAGGAAGAATCAAAACCAACACTCAGTGCAATTGTCACTGCAAGAGCAGCAGAGCTCAAGCCCCTGCCAAAGCTGGTCCCAAAAGCGGGTGACCAGGATAGAGCAAGTGGAAGGCAAGAGATTTCATTTTTTCCTGAATCTGGATTATCCAAAAATTTTTAAATGAAAGGGAGAATGAGAAAGGAAAGGAAACGAAGCAGATAATGCATTCATTCATTGGGAACTAACCTCACATTCAGGACAAAACCAGTCCCCCTCTGGTTCCGATGTCAGTCTCAGACACTTAGCGTGATAAACCCGGGGACAGAGCTCACAGCAAAGGACTTGGCCTTCCCGGTGACAAACCCAGCAGTAGAAATCATTCCGTCCATCCTGCGGTACAACATCAACAGGGTCTGTGGTGAGTGGCTGCTTCATATAGTAAAACGGACCATGTCTTAGTTCTGACTGAAATGTAGGCAAGAAAGACAGGTTTGGTTTCAAAACAAATGTGCATTCGCAAAAGGAATTTGAACAAATACATCAATAACAACAAAAGAACATCACAGCATTCCACACATTCCTTAAAAAGCTATCTTGGGTCACTCTACTAAATACAGAGTTTGCAGGTCATTAGATACTAAGACATTTTTTTCCTCTCTCTCTCTTCTACATTCAGAAGCCATAGATTGAAAAGCTGGTGTCTAAGAGTTAATAGGCTGCCCTAGCAGAATAATTACAATGGCTACAACCCAGGCATACCCAGGTTCAAATTTTAGTTCTACCAGCTGTATGACCATGGGCAAATTTAAACCTCTCAGCTTCAACTTTCTCATCTGTAAAATGGGGATGGTAATACCTAACATCATGGTATTTGGGTTGGGATTCAAGGGGATGATAGAACGTATGCATTTAACACAGTGCTGCTATTACTAATATACTTAAGAGACCAATAAATGGAGGTCTAAACAAAGCCAACAATTTGCCCTAGGATTCTTTCAACAGCAGGCTTTGGGAGGATAGAGCAATTGGATTTGAGTCACCAAAAAGAAAAAGGGAAAAAAAAAAAAAGGCCATTCTTTTAAGTTTACCCCCAATGCATAAAATGTATGAGCCACCAGAGGCTTCCTAAAGCCATGATTCTTCAACATGGTAGGTCCTCATATTTGCAGAGGTTCCAGATCTCCTATTCAGAAACACCAATAGCAGAAAGATTACATGAGTGGCCAATTCATGGGAATCAAAACCACCTCCTACCCCAGAATGTCAAGAAAAATGTTTCCCTAATGATACATTACACAATCGAACAAAGCCACATTCCGAACATATAAGATCACTCAGAAGAAACTCATCAGGAAAAAATGTCTACTGGAAATCAGTAACAAATACAATTTTTAAGAAGTACTGTAAGAAATTCTGGGGGTGGGGCGCCTGGGTGGCTCAGTAGGTTAAGGGTCCCACTCTTGATTTCAGCTCAGGTCATGATCTCAGCACAACGGGATCAAGCCCCTCGTCGGGCTCCATAATCAGTGCGGAGACTGTTTGAGATGCGCTCTCTCTCTCTCGCTCTCTCTCCCTCTGCCCCTCCCTCCTCTCTCAAATACATAAGTAAATAAATCTTCTACAAAAAAAGAAAAGAAAGAAATTCTGGGGGCAGCTGGGGAGCTCAGTTGGTTAAGCATACGATTCTTGATCTCAGCTCAGGTCTTGATCTAAGGGTTGTGAGTTTAAGCCCCACACTACTGGGCTCCATGCTGGGCATAGAGCCTACTTAAAAAAAAAAAAGAAAGAAAGAGATTCTGGTGGTAAGTGTCAAAATGATCCAATAACTAGCTGTGCAACCTTAAGAAAGCTACTCAACCCATTTGAGCCTTGATTCCATGGGTAATAGCTCAAACACAACCACAATACCTATCTTTGACAGTAAGCTTTTTTCCTGTCCTGTCCTTCAACAAAACATTACAGTTTCCTCCACCAAGTCTCATATGTTGGTTAAAGCTGCATAATTTTTGTTGATATTATGAATGGGACCTTTCTCTATCCTATTTTCTAAGTAGTTATTGTTGGTACACAGAAATGTTGTTAGTTTTTAATGCTGACCTCCTATATAGGCAGTTCTAGTAGTTTATTGATTAAAAACATCTGCTCTGGGGCGCCTGGGTGGCTCAGTTGGTTAAGCGACTGCCTTCGGCTCAGGTCATGATCCTGGAGTTCCGGGATCGAGTCCCACATCGGGCTCCCTGCTCTGCAAGGAGTCTGCTTCTCCCTCTGACCCTCCTTTCTCTCATGCTCTCTGTCTCTCATTCTCTCTCTCTCAAATAAATAAAATCTTAAAATAAATAAATAAATAAATAATAAAAACATCTGCTCTAAGCAACAGCAGTTTTGTCTGTTCATCTCTAGTATTTTTACACTCCTTTTCTTTCCCCCTTATTTTAATGGGGCCCGTATTTTATCCTGGGACCCCCAGGATAGTGGGAAAGAGTGGTAAAGATTAAAAGCAGTCATGTCTTGTTCCTGCTTTTTAGTATGAGGTTTTAAGGTTCTCAAAATGTCTGCTATTTCTACACTCCTTTTTATCAACCCTCCCAGATGCTTCCTTCGTAGATCTTTGTTAATCCATCCTTCGAAGCCTCCCTACTCTCATTTCTACTAAGAAAACAACTAAGACTAAGATTCCATTTATTTACCTGACAGAGACAGACACAGCGAGAGAGGGAACACAAGCAGGGAGAGTAGGAGAGGGAGAAGCAGGCCTCCCGCTGAGCAGGAGGCCTGTTGTGGGGCTCAATCCCAGGACCCTGGGATCATGACCTGAGCCGAAGGCAGACGCTTAACCAACTGAGCCACCCAGGTGCCCCAACAACTAAGACTTAAGGGTAACTCCATAATTCTTGAGCCCAATTACTTCCCTGGTTCCGTTCAGATACAGGCCTCTATACTTGGTTTCCAGACAGTAACATCATTACCATTTTCTCTCCATGTTAAGTGTTCAACATACTCTCATACACATCATCTTCATTTTACCCTCACACCCCCCGGAGAGGTACTCAGGATAGACACCACTAGTCTCACTTGACAGATGAGAAAACTAGTTAAAACAACCCAACTTTCTCTCGCCCTGATACCCTGTTTAAGACAATGCTGGGTGAGGAGAGACTCTTAATGATGAAGTGACCCCCTCAGAGAACATTCTCTGTAGGTCAAAATAACTTCTGTTTCATGCAAAGAGCCGAGAGGGGGGAGGGAGTGAATCTGAAAATTAGGAAAACAACTAGAAACACCACAGAAGGGGACATGAAAGGAGAACATCTGGCGGGGGGGTGGCTCTCACCCTCACACTACTGTGGTTCAGGGCAGAAAAGTCTTTGTGGGTTGGAGCCGTCCTGTGCATGATAGGATGTGTGGCAGTATCCATGGCTAGATGCCTGGAGCACCCCACCATCCACAAAACTGTGACGATCAAAAATGTCTCCAGATATTGCCAAATGTCCCTGGGGGGCAAAACTGCCCTTAGTTGAGAGCACTGACGTACAGGGTCTGCTATCGGCCCAGGAAATGCTTGTTTGCGTTTGGGGCAGGAGAGAGGGCGAAGGGGGGCTTTAAGGAGGTGGCAGGGTGAGGAGGAGGAGGAGGACAAGAAAGAAGAGGGAGGCAAGGTGTGGAAAGAGGAGAAGATCCTTGTATGGAAAGATAAGCCTCACGTATCAAGCAAGCACAAACTGCTTCTAACCTGAGTGAGGTCTTCCAGAGTGCTTTTGTGGCTTTTGCAACATAGCAGTAAGCCATAGTTCAGTGCCTGACTTCCTTTCAGCAAGTTAATAATAGGACAGGAAGAGTCAATCTAAACGAAACTGGAAGAATGGAACAGGCCAGCTAATCTCCCTAACTGGAAACCCAGGGCCTTCCTGTCCAAGAGAGGCCTAGCTGCCACTTCTGAAGTTAAGCTCCCTGCCCCCATGTCCTTGCCCCCAACCCACACCTGGCTGGGAATGGGTGTTCCTGGGGGAAATCATAAGGGATGCGTGCTAGGCAGCAGCTGTTGCTGCTGAGAACTAGCTGCCTGGTAACCTCCATATCAATCAGATATCTGCCTTATCTTGTAAGTGTTTCCTGTTCCATAAAAATAGTCTGATAACAAATATGGAACATTTTAAAAAGGAAAAGCAAATCATTCCAGGTAAAATGAGTTACGATTTTCTCCGCCCTATGTATAAGGTGTGTTACCAGCCTGCTAGTAAGGCAAACAGGTTGCAACCTGCGTTATTATAGGATAACTGCAGGCTATGTGAGCAAATGTTCTTTTTTTTTTTTTTAAGATTTTATTTATTTATTTGAAAGAGAGAGAATGAGAGACAGATAGCAAGAGAGGGAAGAGGGTCAGAGGGAGAAGCAGACCCCCCGCCGAGCAGGGAGCCCGACGCAGGACTCGATCCCGGGACTCCAGGATCATGACCTGAGCCGAAGGCAGTCGCTTAACCAACTGAGCCACCCAGGCGCCCGCAAATGTTCTTATTTCCCTGCTTCTTCCACAGGCTGATTGAACAAGAGAACAGGCTCATTCACTCACTTCTCTAATACTTGAGTCTTGTGCCAGTAGCCAAGAAACTTCTTCTCTAACGGGTTCTATAGAGACTGGAAATAGGGGCTCCTGGGTGGCTCAGTTGGTTAAGCGACTGCCTTCAGCTCAGGTCATGATCTCAGGGTCCTGGGATCGAGCCCCACATCGGGCTCCCTGCTCAGCAGCGTGTCTGCTTCTCCCTCTTTCTGCTTATGTTCTCTCTCAAACAAATAAAATCTTTAAAAAAAAAAAAAAAAAGACAGTAAATAGCTGAGGGTGTTGCAGGTCATGTGGTCTCTATTACAAGGACTCAAGTCAGCCACAGCAGCAAAAAAGCAACCACAGACAATACGTAAAATGAATGAATATGGCTGTGTGCCAATAAAACTTTATTTACAAAAACAGGCTCTGGGCAGCATCTTGCTCACAGGCTGTAGTTAGCTGACACCTGGTCTGCGTAAAGCAGAAAATGGGTGCTCTGGCTGTGTGTGAGCACAGGGTACATGTGTGACAAACAGGGGGACCAAAACTCAAAATCCCTACATGGACCACAGAGGTAACATACGCAAATGAAAACGGTCCTTGTTCCAGCTTTTGTTCTTCTCCATTTAAACCACAAACACTGCAAAATATGTCTCTGCTCTAAGAAAAACTGCCCAGCCCTGGAGTGTGAGGAATGTCACTGGCATTCAGCCTGGACGCTGGCGAGACAACAGGGAGAGGCAGAACTTGGGCCCATCTTAAGGGGCAGCCCCGGCTCAGCTCCAGTGATTAAGACAGCTAGGCAGATGCACACTCCCAGTGCTGCCTGAGTTCAGGGAGAAGCCAGGAAGCCTACCCCCCCCCCCAAACTGTCCCCATTGTTAATACACTGCCCCAGCCCAACAAGGGACTTCTGTGAATATTTTTAAGTTTTTAAGACAATGCATGGGCCTGACAAAATAAGATCTAGCTCACCCATTTATGGTATGTATATACCCTATACTCAGAGGCAGTGAGGGGGAGCCCCATCATTTCTTTACCATATTTGATCACAGGTATACCGATGGCCACCCATCTGTTAGCAGATTATTTCTCAATCCCTTAATGATGGGGGGGAGGGAACGCTTCCAAGTGGAGTCTTCATAGGCAAATGTCCCAAGAACTAAAAATCAGAGTGGTATTTTTCAGTAAAGGCCCTAGTATCATTTGAGGGAAGATACTTCTTGGGCCATCTACTGCAGGGTATTTGGCAACCTAACCTTCCACAAAATGACAGGAGCATCCTTTCAGGCTTTGGGATGTCTCCTCCCACCCCAATCCCAAGAAAAAGCACCCCCTTGTTTTCAAACCTTTCCTACAGAGTGAAACCATACCACGGGGCCAAAAGCCTATAAAATATTAATTATAGGGGTGCCTGGATGGCTCAGTTGGTTAAGCGTTTGCCTTCGGCTCAGGTCATGATCCCAGGGTCCTGGGATCTAGTCCAGCATCGGGCTCCCTGCTCAGAGGGGAGCCTGCTTCTCCCTCTCCCTCTGCCTGCCACGCCCCCTGCCTGTGGTCGCTCTGTCAAATAAATAAATAAAATCTTTAAAAATAAATAAATAAATAGGGCGCATGGGTGGCTCAGTTGGTTAAGCGACTGCCTTCGGCTCAGGTCATGATCCTGGAGTCCCGGGATCGAGTCCTGCATCAGGCTCCCTGCTCGGCAGGGAGTCTGCTTCTCCCTCTGACCCTCCCCCCTCTCATGTGCTCTCTCTCTCATTCTGTCAAATAAATAAATAAAATCTTTTTAAATAAATAAATAAATAAATAAATAAATAATTATAAGCCTTAAATACTTTTTTCCCAAAAAACAAAGTGTGTTTTAAAGTTCCTCTTACAACTCCCCTAAAATTACTGAATTCCTAGTATATGAAAAATGGGTGAAATAAGGTCCAACCTTAAAAATTCAACTCCTATCTCCACTTGGTTAGTAAGAAGTCTACCAAAAATGGGAAAATATGGGGGTTTTTTTGTTTTTATAAGAAAAGCTTTCTTTTTTGGGGGGAACACAAAAAAGAAATTATAATTGAGAGGAAGGGGAGAAGAATCTTGGTATATGCCAAAAATCAAAGGCATCTGAACTCTTGAAATAGCCAGAGGCAGAAGGTATGAGCCAACTCGGCAGGGTGTGACACTGGGGAGGGGTGGGGAGTGTGGAAAAACTAGAGCACAGAGGCCCTGTGTCTAAAGGGGCAGGCTCTAGCCCACTGCAGCTGTTGCCGGATTTTTCTGAGTTTTTGTAAGAACCCAAAATACAAGTTGTTATTTGAAATCTCATGATCTTCAAATGTTGGTGACTAAGAAATTATACTACTGGTAAAACCCAGCACTTTCAGACCTACAATTTGCTTTTAATTCCGTAATTTTGTAATGCTATAAAATTCTAAAAAGAAAGAAAGAAGAAAGGGAAAGTGTCCAGAGGAATTTTTTAAAGGGATTTAAGTTCCCCTTAAGGAAAAACAGATTGTTGCAGGAGGGAGGCTGCCGCCACCATGCAAATATTATATGCTAGAATAAATTATGGGGTCAAGGGTCAGGAATGTCATTTCTTTGCAGTTAAGCCCGTTTCTCCTCTGCCAACTCCTGACTGTTCGGCCCCAGGGAGTTTTAGGGCTGAAAAACAAACCTACGATCAACCTTAGGATGTTTCCAGCCCAAACCCCTACTTTACAAGGTAAATGAATCTCAAAGATGGGCCAGCAAGTGACATGGTCCCACAGTGAGTCTCCCAGATGCAGTGGGGCTAGAAAGAGCCAGATCTCTAGGTCAGGACCGAACCTCCCCTGTGCAACGGTCCCATAAACTCTTCTATCAATACTGAAGATGACAGATTATTCAGGAGCATAATCATGCCCCACGTCCAGCTCCTCCGAGTCTCCTCTCTTCCACACCCAGAGCGCACTCTGGATTCACGAGCCCCCACCCTGCGGCTACAGCAGCCGCCAGACACGGGCCCCTTTCTGAGGCTGCTAGTCCAGAAGGGGACACGGACTGACAAACGTGTCACTGTGGTCACGGGCTGTAAGTGTTACAGAAATGGCCCTAACACATGGATGGGGAAGGGAGGGAAGAAGATACATGGACTACGCAGGCTGATCAGCTTCCAGAAAGAGAGGTACGAGCCAGTTCCTTAAAAGGCGGGTAGGAACTCAAAAAAGTATGATGCATGTATGTGTGCATACACAGGCAGAGGCCAAAGGAGAAGGCTTTCTGAACAGAGGGGACACTATCTGCCTCATGCCCTCCTGGTACCTGGTAAGGGAGGGTTTGCCCAGGAAGTTAAATTAATACCTAAGTTAAGGTTTGGGGATCATCTGTGGCCTTCCTGTTTCTGTTTCTTTAAGAGAGAGAGAGAATCTCTCATGGGATCCACGCCCAGTGCAGGGCCCGAGGCAGGGCTCAACCTCAGGACCCTGAGATCAGGACCTGAGCCAAAAATCAAGAGTCCGATGCTTAACTGACTGAGCCACCCAGGCACCCCTTTGTGTTTCTTAGTCTTCACTGTCAGCAGCTATGGGATGGCTCCTGGGTGAAAGGGATGGGTCGTCAGCACTTCAAGCCAGACGGGCAGACCTAAGCTCAAAGGCAGCTTCTGCTTCGCTCTGAGGCCTTGAGGAGACACCTTAACCTCTCTGAACCTCTGTGTTTTCATCTGTAAGATGGACACAATTACAGCCCTTTCCCACAGGGTTATTATAAACATAAACACAGAAAAATGCCTTACAAGAGGAAGTGGCACATGGTGAACCAATGTCTCTTAGTATCACCAGCACCGTCATATACGCTTCTCAATCCCCCTGGAAATTTATTTAGGACCCGCCTGTTTCTTCTCTTTTAACGGATTCCCAACTCATTAGACCTGCACTATCCAACACAGTAGCTATAAGCCACAGGCAGTCACTTAAATTAAAATTAAATTAAAAATTCAGTTCCTCCAAGAAACAGACTCTTAACTACAGAGAACAAACTGCTGGTGACCAGAGGGGAGGTGGGCGGGGGAGTGGGGATGAAGTAGATGAAGTAGAACGCACTTACTGTGATGAGCATGGGGTATTGTAGGGAAATGCTGAATCACTATACTGTACACCTGAAACTAACATTACGCTGTATGTTAACTAACTGAAATTTAAATGAAAACTTAAAAAAAAAAATTTTGGTTAAAAAAAAAAAAAAACCCAGACCCTGGGTCACATCTGCCATTTGCAGGTGCTGAATGACCACATGTGGCTTGTGGCTATTATACCGAACAGCACAGATCTAGAACATTTCTGTAGCTGTCGTTTCCTTATTTCACACACAGTTTGTGTGATTATTCCACTTAGTGTCGAGCCTGGCTTAATTTTTATTATTATGATTGACATCATCATCACAACCCTGTGAAATTCGTCGTGGTACTAATACTCCCGTTTCAGTGGATGAGCAAACTAGGCACAAAGAGGTTAACTTGCCCACAGACACCCAGCAAAGCAGAGCGGGCATCTCGCTATATAATTTTAAGAATGGAAATAGATTCGTGTGCAGAAATGCAGCTCTCTCCCAGTTCGGGGCATTTAACTGTTGCTAGGTTTCTTCCCATGAAAGCAACAACCTTATTTTTATTCAACCTCCAATCCCCAGGGCCCACTTCGGCACTCCCGTAATGCACAAGACGGATGAATGCATCCCGAGGAATCCCTACTGAAATGCTAGCAGAACCATGGGGCAACCTGTTTCCTCCAATGCTAGGAGATCTGACCTCGTGGCCCACTAAAGCAGCTTTTTTTAAATCATAAGAGTATCTAGCCTGCATCAGAGAATTTTAAAGCTAGATCTCTTAAGATCTAAGATGGCTAATGGATGGATATTCCTACCTAGTTGATAGGTCTTGGCTGCAGAAGGAGGAAGGGGTCTAGAAAAGACTGCTGTCGCCCCAGGGTTGATGCGCAGTGAGACAAAAGGCTGACCAATTACCGAAGAGGACAGTGGGCAATGGGTAGAGACAGCAGCTGTGTTACCACAGACCTAAACCGATTATTTTACAGATGAGAAAGCTGAGACCCGGAGGGAGCCTGCCTCAGCCCCGTAACCACCTCCAGGCAGAGCTCAGCACAATCCTACTGGCATGGCCTAGAAGGAAAAACTCCTCCAGCCACATGGGGAAACAGCAGTAGAGTGTAAGAAGGAAATCCAAGGAAAACCCCCAAATCCTACAGCACGGTATCTTCAAGCTCATCTGGGTCACTGCCCTGTCCCCAAAACAGATCTTAAAAAGCCACTGGACCCATTTTGAGCTGCCCTTCCTGTCCTATGCAAACAACAGCTAGAGCAAGGCAGCTTGCTAAATGCCAAGAACACGGGCTGTCAGCAACACCCGGAAAGCTACAGCGCTGCTCACTACAGCCTTTGTCCTGCTGGTGTGGACGCCATTCCCAGCGGCCCTTTACCTGCTCCTTATTGTTATTGTTCAGTAAGCCGGGTTTCTTTTTCTTTTTAATGGGGCTTGTGGATGTGTCCTGTGGCGAGTGGCCATTGGAAGAATGCGGAGGGCTGGGGAACTTTCTTTTCTGGGCTGTTCTCTCTGTGGAGCCAGGATCTGAAAGAGACACACAGGACCACATATTTTAAAGCAGTCAGGGAGGCCGAGGCCCCCCAGGGAGGGGGTGTGTGGGACACAAGGCATTCTGTCCCAGGCCCAATGCCATTGTAGTGTTCGTTCGTCCTCCTAGAATACACTCACCCCATCCCTTTGGTTAATGGTCTCAAAGGTCAGACACTTCCTTCAGCCTACATGCCATTTTTGTTAAAATTTTAATTCACCCTGGTGGTGGGTATTGAGGAGGGCACATACTGCATGGAGCACTGGGTGTTATGCACAAACAATGAATCATGGAACACTTCATCTAAAACTAATGATGTAATGTATGGGGATTAACATAAGAATTAAAAAAAAATTTATAAAAAAAAAAATTTTAATTCACTGCCAGAATATAAAAATCGAGAAACTTCCCATCATCACCTAGACTTCTGGCTTCTCTTAAAAACAAACAAACAAAACAAAACAGAACACACACAAATCAGGGCCTGCATGGCGTTATGGCACCAGACTGATCTGTCTACCAACCAGTGAGACACTTTTAGTCGGAAATGTGCTCTCCATTTTGCCAAAATCCCCACCCTTCTCTACTGTGTCCCTGTTGACCAGGTCATGACCCAGCCACCACGAGCTGTGTCAGACAGACATCAGTACCGTCCCTCATCCCAAAATATTTCTTCTCCATACCCGCACATGACGGCAACGGCCAGGAAACCAAGAAAGACAGACTAGTGAGGCCACACGCTTCCAGAAATCGAAGGCACACATACTTCTTTGTGGAAGACGACAACATTTACTGTTATGCTTGCTTGTGACTCTCCTCCAAAGGGACAGACACAAATGACATTCTCCCTGATTCTCCTCTGAGACATGCCAGCCGCCCCCCCTCGCCGACTCATTCCTTCCCATTTTGACTCTCCAAGCATCTCATTTAAACACAGACACTTCCACCACCAACCCGTCTTCACCTGCAAGGCCTTGGGTCCATTCCATGCCCGCTGGCTGTCTCATTAGCGTCGGCGCGAAATAAGGGCCCAGAGTGGCGCGCCTTACATTCTGAGAAAGAGACATTACAGGCACAAGGAAAGACAGCTACGTGAGAGCACAGGGGATGGGGTGGGATGTGGAATCCAGAAGGACGACTATCCCTAAAGCGAACCTGACGACGCGCCTCCTCCGGTTTTAACTTGCGGGCAAGCCCCAGCACGCGGGATGCGCCATGCGTCACCAACCTCTGTGTGTGGACAGGGGCCACTGGGGCAGATGAACACAGTCTGGTACGGACACATGCGAGGCCTCCTAGGGGTTTCCTTCCGCCTGAAAGAGCATCTTCCAAGCGGGCTCACTAAAGGAGATAGTGAACGACTTGTGCAAAAACCGATCCACAGGATGGAACGCTCCACTCTCAGCAGGCAACTTCAGAAAAATCCCGAACAAGCGTTCCGGGTGCTGCACTGACACATCGTCCCGAGAGGAAATTAAACGCTAACCACAGGCCCCTTGAGGGAGAACAGACCCCAGAGTTTGGAGGATCATCCCACAGACTTCAAAGTGGAGGCCCAGAGAGCCCAAAGGGATGGCCCAGAGGCACACCACAGCTAGTTAGCAGGAAAACTCACCGAAAAGGTGCAGCCTGGGATTGGTGTTCCCCTAGAGAGAACCTCCTCTCTCTCATGCCCAAGAGAGATCCCTACCCCACTCCACCCTCATCCGTGAAGACTCACCTCCTCCACCTAGAAACACATGCTATAGATACAGTCACGGGGAGCAAAGCGACCCTAAGATGATTCAAATAAGGCACTGGGTGATGTACACACACCTGGAAAGGACTAAAATGTCCACAAATCGAGGACTGGTCTAATAACATTCCATAGCCATACAGTGGAATATTCTTTTTTTTTTTAATGCAATCTCTATGCCCAATGTGGGGCTTGAACTCACAACCCTAAGATCAAGAGCCGCATGCTCTACCAAGTGAGCCAGCCAGGCGCCCCTCATACAGTGGAATATTCCACAGCCATTAAGAATAAGGAAGCACCTCTATGCAAACAGATGCGTGACTATCTCCAAGCTTCTGCATCTGGTTAAAAGAGCAACACATATCTAGCACCATTAACACACTGACACACACCCCCCAAAAACAATGTTAGATATCTAAGTTTGCACAAGCCTAGAACATTCCCAGATGAACACAAAACTACTACAGAGCTCTCAACTGGGACTAGCGGCTGTCTCGGGGGAGGAAAACATGCAGGAGGTGGGGGAGGGATTATTTTTCACTGTGTACCCTTGTGTACTTTATTTATCATGAGCATAGACTACTTTATCAAAATAAATTTAAAGTGAGGTATTTAGGAAGGTCAGTAGCACATAAAAAAGCAGCAAGTGCAAACCAAAGCCAGGAATAAGCAAATGATGAAGGCCTGATTCAGGATAAATAATGGCACCAACCAGATGGACCAACCACCACAGGCTTAGGGACCACAGTCTGGGATTTGTTCAACATGGAGCTGATAAACCCAAATAACCCTGCTCAAGTGTCAGAATATGCGTGTTTTAGGAAGGTGTTCTGGTTGGGGCGCCTCAGTGGCTCAGCTGCTTAGGCATCCAACTCTTGATCTCAGCTCAGGTCTTGATCTCAGGGTTGTGAGTTCAAGCCCCATGTTGGACTCCACACTGGGTAGTGGAGCCTAGTAAAAAAATAAAATAAAAAAACAGAAAGGTGTTTTGGGGGCCCCAAGGAGATGCATCCCAGAAGAAATGGCACCTTGGCCAGCCCAAAATTGAAAGCAACTGGGCAAAGCTTTTGGTATTTGGTAAGTTTTGTTTCATTTGTGGGTACATTTTTTTTTAAGATTTATTTATTTATTTTAAAGATGTATTTATTTTAAAGATGTATTTATTTAAGAGAGAGAGAGCACACACGGGGTTGGGGGGGGAGTAGGGGACAGGGAGAGAGAACCCCAAGCAGACTCCATGCTGAGTGTGGAGCATGACATGGGGCTCAATCTCATGACCCAGAGATCATGACCCGATCCAAAATCAAAAGTCAGATGCCCAACTGAATGAGCCACCCAGGCGCCCCTGTGGGTAGATTTTTAAAGAAGAAAGTACATGAGCAAAGACACATCAGCAAAAAAGTTAGGGGCACATTCGGGACAAAAACAAGTCGTGTGTTTCCATGTTTCTTCATGGAGCACAGTGCATTTTGTAAGGGACAGCTTTCCTCGTTGCAAGGACCACCTGGGCACCCTCCCACTCACTGCTAGCAGTACTCCCAAACACAATGACAACAAAAAGCACCCCCACGTACTTCCCAAACACTCACAGAGGGGTGGTACCAGCCTCCTGAAGAATCACTGGGCTAGAACAAGAAAACATGGTAGATGATCAACACAGTCCAGCCAATACGTAGCCAGCCTTTGGGAGCCAGAAAGGACACCAGCCCCTCGTTGGACCAGCCTAAGTTACCTACCTGTGGCTGAGACCCCCTGGGACAATGGATCCCAAAGAGTAGTCCCCACACTAGCCCCAGTGGCACCGCCTGGGAATTTTAAGAAATGCACATTCTCAGGCCCTACACCAGAGCTACAAATCAGAAACTCTAGAGGACAGCCTGGCCATCCGTGGTTTAAGGAGCCCTCCAGAGAACTCGGGTGCACGCTGGTTTCAGGTGCTCTAGGATGTGTGTTTGGGGGATGCAATAGGAGTTCTCAAGTGCAGCGAATCCTGTTCCACACTGGTAAAGCCCATCTCCTCTCCTGACCCACCGCTACCTGCGGGCTCGGTCTGGGGCTGAGGAAACAGAAGCCGAGCAAGAAGGCAAGGCAAGAGAATAAAGACAGCTAAATAGGAGAAGACGCCAGGCCAGCCTCCGTCTGCAAAATGGGAGAAGGGAGGAAGGGACCAGACCAGAACTTCTCACGTGGAGTCCGTGAAAGTGTTCCAGGGACCCACGAACCACATGCCATGGTTCTGTACAAGGACACAATTTCCTGGGAAGAGGGCCATGCCTAATCTATCTTCCCAAGGGCGTCATCAACGCTAAAGATTAAAACTACAGAACTAGACGATCTTAGGGTCCCTTTTGAACTTTGAAATTTGTTAATTCCAGGGGAGAGGGGAGAAATACACATAAGCAATATAAGGCAGAGACAGCATTTTGCCCCAGCCCAGCAGGAAACCAAAGGGGAAACCAGCGACCTGCTCAGCGAGGAGGGGTCCGACCAAAGGCTGCCCGTACCTAAGAGGACCCTAACCTTCTAATCCCTGCAAACCACAAAAACCCCAATTCTGTTCCTGGCTACAAACACACAGACTCCCTCCAGAGTTAATGAGAGATTGTCGGCTGCGTCCAAGGGTCAGGAGTGGAACAGGATCCCAGCAACAGACAAATCTGTCAAAGGCAGAGGCTTTCAGTGAGGCTCCTAAGGAGAAAAGTGAGAAATACCAACTGGATTCACAGTCCTTCTGAAGTATGAGGGAGCAGGTCAGCATTCTGACTTAAAAATCTGCCCACTCCCAGGCCTGGGGTGGTGACAGAATGGTGGGTGTGGGCTCTGCTGTAGTCATTGCCACAAAGCTGCCTGTGTAGGACCTTTTCCAGAAAGCTGAGTCAAGTTGGGTTTTTTTTTTCCCTTCTTTAATGATTTAATTCTGACAAGGACTTATTGCTAAACACATCTCATCTATAAACTTGGAAAGATGACAAACAGCCACCGTAGACTGAATCACCAAGGAAATGGCTCACCCTTGATCTGAAAGTCCTTTCTGTGAGGTAGCAGGGCCTGTGATTCCGCTACGGCACTGGACCACCAGCGACCCTCTGCCTCCTAACCCCTCTCCCCCAAAATAAGTCTGGTTCTGAAGGAGTTAATGTGGGCAAGGGAGGACAACTCCTCCAGGCAAAGGACAGAGCGGTGACTCAGGAGAACAGCTTGGCATGGAGCAGGAAACAGCGGAACTTTCCCCTCCTGCGACATTACAGTGAAATCTTAATAATATGGGAAGGCCTACTGGGTATTAAGAACCAAGCATGTGATGAGATCCTTCTCCAACCTGTGTCTTGTGAACTGCCAGAAATAATCCCACTCACCCCTCCTCAATGTCCCCTGACCTAAGGGACACCGAACTTCAAGATAACCCAGCCTCTTAGCTTTCCTGAGCCACGAGTATTAACAGCTGAGGCTTTCTCTTATTACGTACAACGTAGGGGGGCCTTGTTCAAAATGCCTTCGCTGTATTTCCCTTTAAGTCACTTGCCCAAGATGACACAGTGGCTGGGCTGGGATTTGAACCCAGGTGATGTGACTAGGAGGCTCATACATGGCCCCACGCCGGGGAGAGGCCGGCCTCAGCTCTGTAGCAAGATGGCCTCTGCACACAGGGTCTATGTTTACGAGCACACTCTCGTGTGGCCTTTTTCCCTCACAACTGCAGATGGTGGCCTGAGGGTCAGTGGGGTGGTTATATTCCCCAGGAAGCACATTCCCCTCCCAATGGTGGCACCAGAACTTAGCTCAGGCTCAGGCCACAAAACAGGCTGGGGGCAGGGGGCCTGCGAGGTCATTTCCTCTCCCCCCACGCCCCCCTTCCAATCTCCACCCAGGCCCGCCAGACTCAGCCCCTGCAGGCACCCCCACCCCCACCCCCACATCCGGCACCTGAGTCACGGCCTTTGACATTCTCCAGAGTCTGGGAAATGACACACCATGACAGGGAATTGTCTCCTCAGGAGAGGGAAAGGGCCCAGCTGAACGGCCAGGCACCTCCCCAGGAGGATCAGCCCTGTGGTGTGTTTCTGTGGGTGTTAAATGTCCTTCATGATGTGGACGGCGAGCCTGCAGGGCCTGAGTGAAGAGAAACCCACTCAACAAGCAGACGGGCATCGTGGGCCACAAAAGAGACGGACAGTCTCACACAACGTGGGACAAGCTGGCCACCCCACACGGAAGCTGGAGCACATATTCTGATAAAGCGGGTCACCACAGTGGTTAGGAGCATGTGTTCTCTTTTTTTTTTTTTTTTAAGATTTTTTTATTTATTTATTTATTTATTTGACACACAGAGAGAGAGAGAGAGAAAGCACAATCGGGGGGGAGGGGCAGAGGGAGAGGGAGAAGCGGGCTCTCCCGCAGAGCCGCAGAGCGGGGAGCCCGATGTGGGGCTTGATCCCAGGACCCCAGGATCATGACCTAAGCCGAAGGCAGATGCTTAACCCACTGAGCCACCCAGGCGCCCCAATGACAGCTGTTTTTTTCAAACCAACAATCATCCCTCCTCCCGCTCCTCTTCCTCCTCCTTCCCCACCCCTCCGTTGCAAAACCAGGCCTAGTTCGCTCAGAAGAGCCTGTTAAGGTCAGAGTTACGGAAACGCCGGCCGGCCTATCTAACATGGAGACCGGACCGAGCCCAGGACACGACTTCTGCCTTTCAATCGGACTGTGAGCAGTCCGGCTTGCCTCCCATAACCGCGATGGCACGGTCGGCAGCAGAGGCCTGCGCGGGCTCGGGCTCCGAGGGCACTCGCAGACGGCGCTCCCGGTCACTGCCAGCCGTCTCCAGAGCCTACTTCAAACAGGACCACTCTCGCTGCTCTCCCAGCAACGGCAAAGCGCAGCACGGTTAATCCTCTCAACGTGCTGCCCAAAGACAGAGCGGGTACCCACGCAGGCCTCCCTCCCCAGGAATCAGAGGGCCCTCTCCTGCCAGTAAGTGCATCATCATGAAACCAGAGCCTGGACTTTCCCTCAGGCCCAGAGCAGAAATGAGAAATGGGGAGCGAAGGATGGGGATGAGAGAGAGAAGGGGGAGCATTTTTCTCCCAGCAGATAATACCCAAGCCACGAGGAACACAGGAGTGAAAATGAATAATCCGGTCACTCACAGAACATCTAGAACCGCACCCCCCTGAAGACAGGCTAGAGCCTCCTCCAGACAAGCCGGGCTTCTCCAAGGCCTCCCTGCCTGAGAATATGAACTTCTCACCCGAACCAGGAAAAGAAGGGCTGGCCACGGAAATGAGGCCGTGGAACAAAGGGGTCATTCTCAACTTGGGGGAAATGTCACTGTAGCAGGGATCCCGAGCACCTCGGAGGCGAAGCTAGCGAGGGACAGGTAACCCTGGGAAGGGGCGCTTACCTGCCATTGAGAAAGCTCTGCGGCTCAGAGGGCCTCCCCTCTCTTTGAAAGAAAACTGAGGCTCTCACCCGGCAGACATTCCTGCTTCCGGATCCTCAGCAGCCTCTCCCAGGGGGAGGAGGAAGAAGCAGAGAGGACAGGCTAAGAGTCACCACTTACCAGGCCAGCCCCTGTCTTGTACGCACTAGGTGGCCCAGCACAAGGTCACCCTCACCTCTCTGCAGTTAGGCAGTCTGAGGCAGGGGACGCGCCTTCATGTCCCCAGGCTTTCGGCTCTAATTTATCACCCTCGACAGCCAGCAGCTCGGCTAAGCTCAGAGTCCTTGGTACACTGCACCCAAGAACCATTTACTTCACCGGGTGGGAATAAACGCAACGAACAGCCGTCGTCCCGCAGGCTGGAGCGAGAAGTCCCGAAGGGAGTGTGGTGGTTTGTATGTGAAGGTATTTGGGGCTTTTTTTTTTTTTAAATAATTTTCAAATTACTTCTCACATGTCTCTCCTAGAGCCGAGAAAGCCATCCTCCCGCTACCCGCCATCCTCCCGCTACCCCGTGTCAGCCTATTTCTCCCCTTCACAGTCCCCTCCCTGAAAATCAGGCAGACGGGCTAATGAAACAGCACATTCATATGTAGAAGGTGAACCTCCAAACTCCCCGGGCAGGACTGAAATTGCCGCCATCCAGGGAAAAGAGGCTCATTTACACATGAATTCACTGTGTTGCCCTCAACTAGAGGCAACCGCAACCACCCAGCCCCTTCTCCCCTTCTGCTGGGATGAGGCCTTCTGGAAAACCGACAACATCTCTACAGGAATTTCCTGATTCAAGAATGCCAAGCTCTTTCACGTTGCACAAAGCAGGGGGGAGGCAGGGCCCAACCTCAGACCAGAAACCACTGCACCCTACCCACCCCCTCAGCAGGCCCAGGCCCAAAAGGCTGCATGCATCCAACGTGTGTACATAGCTGAGGCCCTTAACTCTGCCAAGTCACCGCAAAGAAAAGCGTGGAGTAACCGGTTGCCTTTGGCCTTTGCTACGTAGCTGGCCGAGGGGGAGGGCTCCTGGGAGGAGCCGGTTCTGGTGGCGGAAACCGCCTGCATTATTTATCCAGGCTGCGCCTGGTCCCACCCCCGGCCCAGCTCAGGTTCTAGAAAGCTCAGGTGCTGGTGGGTAGCTTTCAAAAGGCGGCAGGGAACAGCGGCCCGCAGAGAGCCAACTCGGAAATAAGAAGGCGACTCTGCCCGCGGCAGCGGATGCGGAGAAGTGCGCTGAGAGAAGGGAAATGAAGAGGCTCAGACGAAGAAAGGGGTGCCGCTGGTAACCAGGCGGCGCTCCCCGCACACCCTAGGCGTGGGGCTGGCCTCTCTCGGGAAGTCACCTCAATGAAGACAGGGAAAGTGCTAAGACACCAGGGAAGAGGGGACAGGCCCTCGACAGCCAGCTCATTGTGGTCCTTTGACGCAGCAAGGATTTCAGGCCCAAAATGTCGCCCATATTACCCTGGTCAAAAGGATGCTTAATGCGGCCTGGGTATCAGTGAGGGGTCCTAAGAATGTGTCCTGTGCAACCCCCCCACACCCTCCCAGCTCAGGAGGGCACAGGACGGCAGACTGGCAGAGCCTGTGGAAGTCAAAAATGGGCAGCAACTTCAATGTCAGCACCAGGAGGCTGAAATGCAAAAAATGGTCATGCAGCCATAAAATGGAACGAAGAAGAAATCTCATCTTTAAGTACTGGCATGGAACAAAAATCTAAGTGAAAAAAGGCCAGAAATAGACCTGAGTGAAAGAAATTGGGGCTGTGTAGGCTCTGGGTTTGCAAAGGCCTGGAGGAACACCCAAGAAATCAGGAGACGCTGGACTCCTCCTTCGGTTCTTTCTGAACATGTTCACGTACTGAACTATTTAAAATGTTTTTAAGTGGCCATGAGAAAATGAAGCTCTCACTCTGTGCCAGGGTCTGCATCTGCATCCCCGGCACCCAGCACACACGGGAACAGCTCAGGACATGCCCCCAGCATTCATCAGGAGCCACTTGGAGGGGGGCTCGGGTGCTTAGAACAGCGGAAAGCAGTGGTTCCCACGAGGTCTCCCCAGGAGACACCTGGCAATGTCACAAAACATTTCTGGTTGTCACAACTAGAAAAAGGAAGGAGTGCTCCTGGCATCTAGTGGGTGGGAGGCAGGGATGCTGCTGACCACCCTACCGGGCACAGGACAGCCCCACGACAGAACAATTAAGCCCAAAATGTCCATAGTGTCAGGGTTGAGAAATCCTGGTGTCAAGAAGCTTCCAATGAGCTGCCAGGCAAGTCCAACCTTGTGTAAATACACCACCCACGGAGGCATCCGTATCCATTAAGAGGGAAAATAATGCCTAATATTTCACCTGATGGCCCTGACTGCACATTTCAAACAGAAGAAAACAACGGAACCAGGGGCACCTGAGTGGCTCAGTCGGTTAAGCGACTGCCTTCGGCTCAGGTCATGGTCCCAGGGTCCTGGGATCGAGTCCCACATCGGGCTCCCTGCTCCGCGGGGAGACTGCTTCTCCCTCACCCACTCCCTCTGCTTGTGTTCCCTCTCTCGCTGTGTCTCTCGCTGTCAAATAAATAAATAAAATCTTAAAAAAAAAACAAACAAAACAACGGAACCAGTGAGTCAACAAATAAAGTCACTGAGCAACTACTAGACATCTAGCCTACCAAGGGAACTGTCAGGGGAAGATCCCTGCCCTGGAGGGAAGACAGAGAAAAAAATAATAATAATAATAATAATAATGGCTGCCTTTTGGTGACAACTTTTCTCTGAGGCCCTGTTCTAAACACAAGCAATTTATTTACTCCTGGCCAGGGTTCTACAAGAAGGTACTTACTGAGTATTCCCATTTTACTGATGAAGAAACTGAGGCCCAGAGGAAAACAGGCTCACAATGAAGTGGCTGGTCAAAAGAGAATGAATGGAAAATATATTCCACATAGAATGTGAAACGGATTGATTACACATAGAAAAAAGCTGAGCAGGAGAAATACCAGGAGTCTGTGAACGATGTAAGTCAGAAGAAAGAGTGTAGCCGGCCAGAGAAATACCTCTGTTTTCTTCTCAAACAGAGCTCATGCGATTCATGAGTAGTACATCATCCTCCTCACCCCACTGAGCAGGGAGCCCCAGGGAGCCCCAGGGAGCCCGACATGGGGCTCAATCCCAGGACCCTGGGATCATGACCTGAGCCAAAGCCCATTTCCTGAGAGGCTACTTGATGAATCCTCTGAAGAACGCCCTCTGAGTAGGGGTGGTGTTTTTGCACCCGTGTGAGAGATGTGGCTCAGAGAAGCACATTTATGTGCTCAAAGGCATGCCGGCCAACGCAGCATGCTGGTGACTCATGCAGCTGGCTCCCACCCCAAGGCCCTTCACTGCACTGGTCAACTGCCTTCCCTAAGGTTGTCCATGCTACCTTGTAATTCTCTTATCACCTAGGGTGTGCTTGCTGTGGGCCAACGACGACCCAGCACTGTTGTTCAGCGTGTGAGATCCGCAGCCATACCACTAGGTCTGATTCCAAGCACTGCCACCAGCCAACTGTGTATCCTCTGGTAAGTTCCTTGGTCTCTTTGTGCCTACATTAATTCAGCTAGTATAATTTTTCTAAAAGGGTTATTAGAATTCAAGGAGACAGCACACGCCGCACGAACGGCATCTCACGTTACTGTGAGAGCTCAAACCGGCTTCCCCAACTCTTTCCTTACCTTCACCCCGATTTGCACCAGACTAGCTCTTCCCCGTCTGTTTCTGAAAAATGGTTCACTGAGGGACGCCTGGGTGGCTCTGTTAGTTGAGCGGCTGCCTTTGGCTCAGGTCATGATCCCAGGGTCCTGGGATCGAGCCCCATGTCCAGCTCCCTGGGGCTCCCTGCTCAGCGGGGAGTCTGCTTCTCCCTCTCCCTCTGCCCCTCCCCCAGCTCTTGCTTGCTCGCACTCTCTCGCGCTCTCTCAAATAAATAAATAAATAAAATCTTTAAAAAAAAGTTTCACTGAAGAGAGACACAAACTTTCACAGCAAGTCCTCAGGCTGGCACAGGTTCAACCAAGCCTCAAAATCCTTTTTTATTTTTTTTTTTAAGATTTTATTTATTTATTCATGAGAGAGAGAGAGAGGCAGAGGGAGAAGCAGGCTCCCAAGGAGCAGAGAGCCCGATGCGGAACTTGATCCCAGGACCCTGGGATCATGACCTGAGCTGAAGAGACGCTCAACCATCTGAGCCACCCAGGCGCCCCAAGCCTCAAAATCCTTGCAGGGCTCAGGATTTCCTCCCTGATAAAAGCACAACAGTCCAGGTGGCCCTCAGTACCCCGCCACACCCTTCCCGACAGAACAACTTCCCTCTGACTCCTCCTCAACCCTCCTCAAATGAGGCTCTCGAAGGCTGTGAGAAAGCTGGCCTCAGATTCCTAGCAGTCTGCACAATGTATAATAGATGTCCAGTCTCGCAGGGTTCGCACCTACGTGGTGCCTGGCACTGAGCAAGCGCTCTGCAAAGGGGTGTTCCTTCCCTGCCCATCTTCTGCCCATTCATGGTCAGTCCCACCTTCGCGCCAAAGTATCAGGACAATTCACATGCCCCTAGACAGAAGCCTTCTTCAAATCTAAATAAGATGGGCAGCCCCTGCTTAAACCCCACTCGAGGAGCTTACTGTAGACACCCAACAGCTTATCCAGACCTACAAGGCCCCCATGCATCTGGCCCGGCTTACTGCTTTCCTCCATCCATTGAACCCTAACCATAATGGCCTCACACAAGACAAAATGTGCACTTGCTGACACTTCCATCTAGAATGTTCTATGCTCAACCTTCCCATACCTGGCAGCTTTCAGCTTTTAGCTCAAACCTCACCCTCCAGCAGCCTTCAGCCCCCTAACATCCTGAAGTGTGGGCGGGTGTGTGTGGGTGTGGGTGTGGGGGTGTGGGTGTGGGTGTGTGTGGGTGTGTGGGTGTGTGTGGGTGGGTGGGTGTTGCTTTTGCTGTCTTCACTACAATCATCTCTCACTGAAAATTATCGAAAATTATTTTCTTCTTTTGCTGATTTCACTTATTTTTTTGTTTCTCCTCCAGAATGTGAACTCGATCTCGGTTTTTCTGTCACTCTTTACAGTCGCCCAGCACGTGGCACAGGGCCTGGCTTGGGGCCTGGCTCAGAGGTGTCCTCAAGGACACACATCTGACCAGGTAAATGAGCAACAGGAGAGGGTTAGCAAAGGTCCAAGGTGTGCCAGCAGCCCTGACTCACAGGAAACTCTCGTTCTCTGTCCCCGGCCTAAAATTGCTCCCAGCAATCCAAGAAGGCAGGAGGGGTGTGAAGTCAACGGAGAAGGGGACACCAAAGAGGACCTGGCCATTTCAGGGTCCGAAAGAGAGAAACCAGAGCACTACAAAGGAAATTCCCTTCTCAACAGGGACTCAGCCATTCTTGTTTCTTGCCTAAAGAGCCCATTTCCCCAAAAGGAGGGGATTAAGTAAGGATTTATATCCCGAGAAGGATGGGTCCACGCAGCTAAACACAATTACTGAGAAACCATAGGGGGAAATTCAGGAGGTTTTCACAAGCCCCCTATTTCCCAGCTCTGCATTCTTCTTGCAGAGAGCTATTGTCTCTGAGTCATCTAGAGTTAAAGAGGGGGAATGACTTTCTCCAGGGAAAACACGCTCCCCGCTGGGAGACCCCCCCCCACTATGATGACCATTTAACCAAATTTTTTAGTCCCGATACTTTGCCCTTTTTCTCAACAGACCCTTTTAAGCCTGAGGATCTCTTTTTAACCCGTCCCTTAATCCTCGCCTGGATGCTCTGATTCTGTCCCCGCAATAGGATGCAAGGACCCACGGGGAGCACGAGCACCTCTCTTAAGTGTGGGCTCGGCAGGTTCATCTTCCCTCCATCCCGCTCTTGGGCTTGAGTCGAGAGAACCTAAATCTGCTCTGTCCTGTCTCTACCTCACCAGGCTTGACAGGAGTCTAGACTCTAAAGACACATATGTGTTGAACAATTCCCACCAACTAGTGTTTCTGGTCCCAACCCAAGAAATAGCAACCTGGTTTCAATGACAGCCTCCCACCTGCTGTGTGGGGATAGGATGGTTACTGGAGGTGGTTAAAGAGATGAAGGACAAAACCAGGTCAGCCTTATTAGGAAGGGGGCCCTAGTGACAACTGATGTGATGATCCAGTAACCTAGATGGGGCACAATCGCCAGGACATCAGTATACAGCTACGGCCTGGGCCAGTGGTGGCCCAACGAAGGACCACAGGCTGAATTCAGTCCACTCACAGCTGGGTGATAACGTTTAAAATTTTAGTCATCAACATTTTAAACTGGGGGCAACAGCATCTAGAATAAATCCAGATTACCACCTTCTCTTAAAAAAACGACAACAAAACAGAAGATCTGGCCACACAGGGTCCCCATTTCCACATGAAACCACCCTCCAGGCTGCCCACCCCCTTAGGATGGAACAGGAAATTCCCCATTTGGCAAGGTCTCCATTACTCTTGTAACGGTCAAGTTAATTAAATCTCACCTTGAAAATCTCTTAAAGGCAGAGTAAGCAAAGAAAGGCAAGAAGGCAAATACGGGGAGAAGAGCTAAGGGACGCTTTGCTAGGACGTTCAACCCCATCATGATAATGCAGGGGAGCAAGATTGGCCACCCCAAAATACGTCTCTTTGGCACAAGGATTAATTCAGGTGGGTTATTTTTAAGAAACTGCAAACACAGAAGCAGCTCTGAAAACACCAAGTAGAAATTACCCTTTTGTAAGAGACATTTAACGTGCGTTAGAAAAATCTCCATTTGTAAGAATGTCCTCCCAGCTGTACCAGGAAAAGGGGAATGACTAAATCTCTAGGAACTCTTATCAATGGAGAAGACAACGACTTAAATCTGCATAACAACCTGACCCTTGTTCACTGGGCTTTTCCTGGGGACCTCCGCTAACAGACTCCCCGCCCCCAACACCTTCTGTCTTTAGCCGAAAACCGTATGTTTCAGGTGATGGCTTTAGCCATTTGGGGGAGTCACTCCGTTTTTCTGGGTCTCTCTCATGTAAACATGCATTAATAAACTTCTGTTTGTTTTCATCCTGTTAATCTGTCTGACATCAATTATTAGACCAGCCAATGAATCTAGAAGAGAGAACTTTTTCGCCCCTACAGTATAAGTTAGTTTATATTTTTATAAAGGGTGAGAAAGGATAAATGAAAATACATCAAACTGTTAACAGTGGTTACCTGGCTTGAGAAGATATTTAGCTTTTTCTTTGTATACTTTGGCTTGTTACAAATGAGATAGGGAAGCAGAAGACACTAAAAGTCTCCATCTCTGCTGTTTCTCTGCTAGGCCCCTAAAAATTACTCCTGTTCTTCATTTCACCTTGCATCTGAGTCAACCAAAGAAGTGATGTCCCCGTCTCAAGGGGGAAGCAAGAAAGTGAATCATTCTCTGAGTTTCGTCCTAGGCCCCCAAAACCTGGTAACATCTAAGAAGAACCAGATCCTGAGCTCGAGGACATTAGCTTCGAACAAATCTCAGAACAAATCTCTGTCTCAACACTGGCCTCAACACCCCTGCCTTATGTGGTTTATGGAATAACACCTATTGTTCACCTGACTCTCGTGCCTTTGATGGGACTGTACCCTGGATTCCTAAAGGAACATCTACCCTGGGCCCCTTTCCAATGTAAACCCCTAACCCCAAGGGGCAGGGAGGCTGACCTCTCCTTTTCGGAGTCTCCCACACATTCAGTCTGCTATAATCTATCACTCACACTATTTAGTAAACTGCTCTCTCTTCCTCCTGGCTGTATTTGATTTCTATCCTACAGGAAGCCAAGGATCCTCTTGGTGTGTCCTGCGGGACCCCCTCTGGGTCCTTGGAATGGGCTGCCGATGTCTCAAAGAGATGCACTGCCTTTATCGTTTGAATGGAAAATCCAATAATCCATTTTCTTCCCTTAATTAGTTTATATTTCTTGGAAGAGATTTTTTTTTTTCCCCAAAAAAAAAAAAAAACCACTTACTAAGCAGCTACTATAAATCGCCAGCACCATGGTGGTCAGGGTGACACAGACCTGGTGCCCATAACCATCTAGGCAAAGAGATGCACAAGTAAATGAATTCTACAACAGAGGGTTTATTTGGGAGGCCAGGGAGAGGGTGGCCCAGCATATCCTGTGGTATTTGCCTCCAGCCAGTGTGTCAAGATGCCAAAGGGCCTGGCAAAAACTCAGTTCAATGGGGCCTGGATAAGAAATGCCAACTTGAGGGCGCCTGGGTGGCTCCGTTGGTTGGGCGACTGCCTTCGGCTCAGGTCATGATCCTGGAGTCCCAGGGTCGAGTCTCGCATCGGGCTCCCTGCTCAGCGGGGGGTCTGCTTCTCCCTCTGATTCTCCCTCTGATCCTCCCCCCCTCTCATGTGCTCTCTCTCTCTCTCTCTCTCTCAAATAAATAAATAAAATCTTTAAAAAAAAAAAAAAGAAATGCCAACTTGAGAACATAGGGAGACAGCCATGCTCTCTGTTGGCAGAAGTTTTCGAAAAAACAAGAGGCGCAGGAGGGTCTGATCAAGCAAAACTTCATCTCTGATGTCATAATTATTTATTCAGCATATTCTATGCTACGTCAATCCCTAACTAGGTTTTCACCCACAGCATCCAGCTCAGCACCCACCAGTATATTAAAGCTACAGAGTAGTGCCGTCCAATAGGTCTTCCTATAATGACGGGAACGTTCTGTACCTGTGCAGTCAGATACAGCCGCCTCAGCTCCACGTGACTATTGGACAACTGAAATGTGGCTAGTACAACTGTAATTTTTTTTTATTTTAATTAATGTAAATTTAAACAGCCATATATAGCAGACAGCGCTGCTGTAAGAAGCTCTGTATTCAACAGAGAAGAGAGCCAGCCTGGCAAGAAAGCAGAATACCTCAGAATCCTCCACCCATCCCTACTTGAGGGATTTGGCCAGTGTCTTCAAGGCATTAATGATCTGATGCCTAGAAATATATATATGGACTTGCCTTTGGTTCCTTCCTTAGCCTAGCTTGAAAATTCTCAAGCCTTTAGTATGTATAAGAATGCCTGATGAGGGGCGCCTGGATGGCTCAGTCGTTAAGCATCTGCCTTCGGCTCAGGTCATGATCCCGGGGTCCTGGGATCGAGCCCCGCATCGGGCTCCCTGCTCGGCGGGAGGCCTGCTTCTCCCTCTCCCACTTCCCCTGCTTGTGTTCCCTCTCTCGCTGTGTCTCTCTCTGTCAAATAAATAAATAAATAAATAATCTTAAAAAAAAAAAAAAAGGCTGATCAGAGCTGATTACTGTACTTTATGGGCAATTTAAGGGACTTTCCAGGGTGATTCTGACTTTGGAAGTCAAAGGACTCCATTAAAGGAGGAATAAATGAAGGCTCAGAAGAGGGGGGGGCTGGGTCCCCAAGCACGTGGAGAAGGTGAGGGCAAGGCAGTCACCTAGGAGAGTAGTCTGGAAGGACCCGCAAAGGTGTGCCTCTGCAAGGAGCAGGAGAGAACCTGACCTATCCCAGGACCGATACTTGGGCTGGAAGGCTGCACAGGGCAACCTGCAGGTCTGCGGGGATGCTGACCCAAGTCTAGAAAGGACAGGGAGTAGGGCCTTGGATCTCTCCCTGCTCAAGACTGTAGTCTTCAGGAGCCCTTAGAAATTTAAAGCAGGAGAGCAGGACAATCAGACTTGTGTTTTGGAAAGGGCCCTACCTGAGTGGTATTAATACTTCGGGAAGGAAAGAAATCAGAGGGAAGGGGGCCATTTCAAAGAGTGCTATGTCCCTGGGGCGAAAGAAAGACAGGCCACCAATCGTTTCAGAGAGAGCAGACATCTGAGCTTGGGTAATTATTTCCAGGCACGGATTATGCTGGAAACAAAGCCACCCTCTCTAGCTGAAAGGCTGTTTTTACTTCGTTTTCCAGGATAAAAGTTCTATGCATCTGATAGACAAAGTCAAGCCATTCACTCATTTGTTCAAAATAAATATTTACTGCACACCAACCAGAACAGGCACAGTGGTAGTAAAAGAGGCACCGATCATAATGGGATCAAGAAAAACAAAAGGCAGGACCCACCCTCATTTGGAGCCTTAGACTCAGCGGGGGTGGGAGGTTAGGAGAGAGGAGAGCAGAGTATCTCCCAGGTAGGATCAAAGACTCCGTGGCTAGAGATAGCACTCTCTCTGAAATCTCAAATATTGGTGTGGCCCAAGTAAGAGAGAAAAGTGGAACACAGAGAAAGGCTTAAAGGGTAGGCAGGGGCCAACACATGGGGATTTTAGGATTTTGATCTTCATCCTGAAACTATAAGGAGAGCGAGCTCTTTAAGTGCTTTAAGTAGGAGATGGTAGCCAGAGGAGATGTTCCTTTCAGAAGGACTGGGGGGTAGACAGAGACCTCGGGACCAGTTAAGAGGCCACTGCAGTCCAAGAGTGATAACAATGATATTTAGGACCTAACACTGTGAGAAAATGACACAAAAAGGCAAAAGGACAGAAGAATTAAGAATTAAGTCCCATCTCTTTGACCTATCCAACTGGCAGAATACTGGCTTATCCCTCACAGTAGAGAAGCAGGTGTTTTGTTGGGGATGGGAGGGATGGGCAGCAGGAGAGCAGGCTGAGATGTGAAATCAGCTTGGGACACGCTGAGTTCGAGACACCCATGAACAACAGGTAGGGAGGTCAGGTAGGCAGCTGGCCCTTTCTGCCTCATGAGTCAGGAAAAATCTAGGTTGGAAATAAAAAATGTGTGAGTCACAAAGCTACAGATGTGGGTGAGATCACTCAGGGAGAGAACACCCTGGGAGAGAGGAGGCCAGGGCCAAGCTTTCTACAACGCCAACATTTAATGGCTGACGAGCTGAGAAGGTACCAGGGAAAGAGGAGGAAAACCAGGACTGAGGTAGCAAAAGAACAGCCAAGGAAGAGATGGTTTCCAGGAGAAGAATGAAGGGCAATGTCCAATACCTCTGTCAGATCAAGGTGGCGGAGTATTGAAAGCTCCACCAGAAAAAGCAGCAAACATGGAGTCAGCAGGAAGCTCAGTGAGGGAGCTCAGTAAGACACTCACATGGAGGGACCAGGCAGAAGAAGGCACAATGGAGGTGGCCAGACAAATCTGGAGGTGAGGAACCCATGACATGAATACAGACACTTCTCCCAAGAAATACGGCTTTGAAGAAGAGGCCAGGGAAGAGTGGCTAGTAGAAAGCATGCAGGGTCAAGAGGGTAGACGGGGGAAAGACTTTAGTGTACTCAAAAGTCCATACATTGATCAAAACACTAAACAGACTTACCCTAGGACCCCAGAACCCCACGCCTACCTACGTTTATAACCAAGAGAAACGAAAACATCTATCCCTACAAAAACGCATACAAAATTTTCACATTGGCATTTATTCAGAGTCACCCAAAAGTGGAAACAAGTCGAATGTCTATGAACGGATGGATGAGTCGGTAAACAAAATGTGATATACCCGTAATAGAGCATTCTTCAGCCATAAAAAGAACAACGTCCTGACATATGCTACAATGTGGATGAGTCTTGAAAGCATTAAGCCTAAGAAGTAAGTCAGACACAAAAGGTCATATACTCTGTGACTTCATTTATATAAAACAACCAAAACAAGTAAATTCACAGAGACAGAAGGTAGACTTGCGGTTGTCAGGGGCTGGGATAAAGAGACAATGGGGAGTGATTATTAATGGGGATGGGGATTCTTATTGGGATGAGGAAAATATTAAAATCGATTGTGGTGATGGTTGCACAACTCTGTGAACATATCAAAAACCATTTAAGTGTATTCTTTAAAATAGAGATTTGTACAATATGTGAGTTATATATCAATAAAGCTTTTGTTCTTGGTTTTTGTTTTGTTTTTTTTTTTTTAAGTCTGTGAAATGTCAGGTTTCTAGGTTCCCAGAAAAGCTGCAGGTGGGTAGAACGAACTTGGGGTACGGGCTAGGAGGACCCTATGATATTGCACTCCACCCCAACTACGAGATGGGGGCTTTCCGAACTTGCTCCCCTCAAGTCAACGGTAAAGGACCCATCATCAAGGGAGCAAACCTATTTGAAAGTTTCAGGCAAAAAAAAAAAGTGCCAGGATCTCTAAAAGGCCTCGGACCTGGTACCTTAATTCTACAGGCATTTGGAGGAAGAAAAGGAGATGGTTCTTTTCAAACTAAAGTTGAAAACAGTCCATTTTAGATCACAGTCTTCTAGAATAACAGAAGTGACATAAACATATAGCATGGGTCAGGTTTCAAAAATGGGGCCAAAAAAAAAGAAAATGGGGCAAACACAAAGTTTTCCACAAGTAAAGCACAAAACGAAATTGCACGAACAGGGCGACAGGATCCCATGAACAGATGCACGGCAGATGCTACTCCAGCCAAGAGAAGGTAGATTTCTCATTTGGAAAGCCATTATCCAACATCTTCAGCGTTCCGGGACATTTTAAATCTTCTTAGGAGAGGAACAATCTGGTAATCTAACTCACAAATAAATGCTTTCCGTTGCATAGTACATGGATGGTACTTCTTAGGCTATAGAAGAGCCAAAATAAGAGTTAAAAATACTGATGCTCACTTTTTAAAAGAAAATTCTCAGCACTTCTGCATCACACTGTGATTTAAGAATGTTTACGGTTGTATTTTCTTAAAGAGTTTCCTTGGGGGAAAAAAAAAATGACAGAAGGTCTCTATCTCATAGCCATCCTCATAAACAATCCCTTTGTGAAACAGTCTTAATTTACATACAACAGTGAGAACAAGAATCCTGTACTAATTAAGGTCTGGGGCTGGTTCGCAAATTGCTATAATTGTATATTCTCTAGCATCCTGTCTCAGAAAACATATCCCTAACCCAGGCAAATCTCAGCAAGAATGATACCGTTCAAGATTTTAATATCTTGAGCTTCCGCTGCATCTGTACACGGTTTCCAAGTGGCTCATTCCCTTGTGCAGGTGACATTACACAGACATTTTTAAAAATGGTTTCAGCTTTGGCAGCCTGGCGTCCGCACACCACAATCATTACTGCAAAATGCACACGTGGCAGGATCAAGAGGCAAGCAGCCCAAACAGGGGAGCCTTTGTATGGAGACATGAACTCCCAGAGACCATCATTTTTCAGACTTCAAGTCCCTGGCCTTGGAGGGGCTTGCTCTGAGTCAAGCACCGTGTGGCCAAAATCCTGCAAGGAACTTTGCTGTGACCAGTCTCGTGCAGAGAATGCAAACTGACAAGCCACTTCTGACCTGGAGATATGTGTTGTTGGGTTCGTGCGTGGTCTTTGAAAAACTGGCCTGCATAAACCACAGCTCCAAGGCAGGCGTTTTTATCGGGGCAGGGGGAGAGGGGGCGCGGAGGGAGATCCGGGCAACACTGGATGAGCCATATTCCTGCTGGTGAGCAGTCAGATGGAGGCACACTCCCGCATCAGGGGAGGCACTCTGCGTTCAAAGGCCCCTGCACCCCAAGGTGCCAGCCAGTTCATCTCACTCATCTACCTTGCAGACATCGGACTTAGCACCCTTGGATAGAGCACATGGCTATGTACAGAGGTTTAAACTCAAAGATAAACCCTGACCCCAGTTCTCCACTTTGCCACTCCATTAATCCCACTGAGCCTCAGTTTCCTTGGCTATAAAATGGGAATAACGACACACCTACATCCCAGCATTATTATAAAAATCCAATGAAGTAATTTGCATAGAATCCCTGGCACTAATAAGTACTCAGAAGATATCAGCTAGGCAAACACACCTGGCATCTAGACAGTACTTCCGATTTATGCTTGAACATCTTTCAGCAAATCACTACCCTCGGACACAAATGTCAACCTGACATCTTAAAAGCTCGAAAGCTTTGTCTCCAGAGAACTAAAACGCTCCAGTAAATGCCCAGGCTGGGGTAATGGCAATGGCCAGCTTGGGAATTACTTAAGTTAATAAATGGGTGCATGTCATGGGTGTACAAACTGATACTTAGAGAACCCGAAGGGTCGTACGGACTAGATGTCGGAATAGGATTAAAGAATTGTGAGTAAGTTATTGGAGTTTCTAAGTGTCCCAAGCAGAGGACAGTTCAAGGTCTGCTCTCCATCTGCAAATAGGGAATGATGGTACCAGTTTCCCAAGATGCCAGAGTGGCCACGTCACCTCCTAAAGAATCATCTCCTGGGGCGCCTGGGTGGCTCAGTTGGTTAAGCGACTGCCTTCGGCTCAGGTCATGATCCCGGAGTCCCGGGATCAAGTCCCGCATCGGGCTCCCTGCTCAGCAGGG